GAGCGAAGTCAAGACCGGTGAATGTGCTTGACTTGTGGAGAGTGTGACTATTTGATGGTTAGTAAACGGCTAGTCATTGTGAGGGTCAAGATATTCAGGATTATCTTACGGGCTGGGGAGAGCAGGGAGCTCTTCAAAGGCATTGGCCAATGGCGAGTGCACCGGGACCTTCGTCTGGAACGGACGGCGATCACCAGCCGGACTCTGAGACCGGCCACGAACACGATCCTTGAAAGTCTCTGGTGGAGCAAAGTCCGCCGCGTTGAAGATTGAGAACTCATCCTTCAACATGGATGGGGCGGGAACGGTAGGCAGGTCTGCCGGAGGAGGAGGCATGGGCTTGCGGGGTCCGCCAGCTCTGCTACCCGCACGGCTACCGGCATTGCTACCAGCGAACGCTGAACCGGCGCGAGGACGTCCATAGCCTGAAGCGGCAGATCCGGGCCTCCTGGGAGGGCCCATCTGGTTGGAGACAGAAGAGCCAGGGCGGGGAGGACCACCGATGCCTGGGGGCATACCCCTCATGCTGCCTGTTTGAGCATGGCCAGGTCCACGGGGACCACCAGGTCCGCGAGGGCCGGGGAATCTCTGGCCTGATGGGGGAGGAGTCATGGCACGGCGAGCCACGGGTTGAGCGTAAGGCATGACGAAGGCATTCGCCTTGGGGTCGAAGTAGGGCGCGGCAAGATCGTCGTAGTCCTGGTTCTGCGGTGGTTGCTGAGGACCCTTTCCTTGCATCTGACCGATGTTCTTGGGCAGTGCCGGTACAGGAGGCGCGTCACCAGGCTTGTCCTCGAAGTACTCCTTGTAGAAAGACCTGATACGGTTGGCGCGGTACTCGGGATCCTCGGACTCCATGATATCATCAGGAGGTAGAGGACGGAAACCAACAGACAAGCGGCGGTTCACACCGTTTTGAGGTACACCTAGGCCGGGACCATCCTTAGCAGCATCTTGCTGTTCGTAGAGCTGAGACTTTCTCTGCATGTTACGTCCTCTCCGGTCATCATCCTCAGGCTCTTCGGGCATCTTGGGGAGATCAAAGTACTCTTGAGGCTGTTGGATAGTCGGGGCAGCCGATGAAGGGTGAGTAGGCTCGCGGGGAGTGCTGGCAGGGGTGGAAGAGGGCGAAGAAGCATCGTGGATTGAAGCCTGCATAGGCTCGGGAATATTGGTGAGACCAAGGCCCGTGGAAGCCTTCTTTGATCCGACATCCACAGCAGGATTCGCGGGGCTAATCGGCTGGCTAGGAGAAGCGAGAGGCTTGACACCGTCCTTGTGGGTGGCAGCATGAAGCTCCCTTGGCGAGCCAGTCAGAGTCCTCTCCGAGTCGCTTGTTTCGTTGTCGGATGTCGCATTTGAAGAGGGATCTTGAACAGAGATTCTAGGTGGTCTGGGTCCATTACCAGGCCTGGCGTGAGTGGGCTCGGGAGACCTGGGCATAGAACCTTGACGAGGAGGAGGTCCGCGGAATGGACCTGCAGGGCCCCTGTCGGTTCCCCTGGGCATGGATTTAACCGAGGCGGCATCACTGGCAGTGTACTGAGTTACCGGGCGGAAAGGATCATCTTGCGGGTTGAGCGTGCGGGCCAAGGAGTTGAGTGATGACTGAGAACCATGAGCATCGGGCGGCAAAAGGTAAGGGCTGGAAAGATTCATGTCCATCGACATTTGGTGGGCGTGGAATCGCGATCCGTTGCCGTCCTTTTCGCCCGCCATGTTTCTCCCTTTGGCTTTGCCCATGTTTTCATCCAAGCCGAAATCTAGGGATTTATGGGGGTCATGGGCCTCCTCGGCCGCCAGCTTCTTCATGTTTCTCCTATGGAGGTAGAAGAAGACACTGAAAGCAGCTACAAGTGGGATACTAAAATGTTGTGAGTGGATTTGCATCAGCTTGAACATGTGTCGGTAGACTCACCAGAGACCTAGCACGATGGGCACAGTCAACTGCGAACCGCCCACGGGTTTTTCGCAAAGATTCGGATTGGCGACGCAGTCCTTGCCGTCCGAGGAAGAAACAACAGCACGGGCAACAAGAACGGGCGTGGGGATTCGAGAGCCCAACGTTGCCGAACCTATTCCCATGCTGCCATGACGTCTGACGATTGGGATTCGGCGTCCCAAGCCGTAATGAAGCCTTCCAACATCTCCCTCCATTTTCACCAATCGTGGTACCCTTCCTCAATGTAATCCAACGCTGAAACAACCGAACTGATAATGCCGTCGTGATCTTTGGCGCCAAATCGAAAGGTTTCGCAATGTCGACTGTTTAACGCAAACAAGATGGTGTTGTCATAACATTTATATGTACCACGGAAATCAACATGCAAATCTCAGTAAATGATTGCGGGTTGGCGATGGCGGTCTTTCCAGAGGCAGAAGATGGCAAGTCGAGATCGTCTGTGTCCAAGAACGGGTTCAAAAAGAACGAGGGTATATTGGCGACGGATCAAGATCGAGGTCACAGCGAAGAGGCGGGCTGTAGTTGGCAATACGATGTGGTGATTAGTGGTGTTTGTTGGTGGTGATGGCTTCGCAAAAAGGAGTGGACTGTTCAGGGTCAAGCCGAGAATCTGGGAGTCGCAAAAAGAATGTCGAAATTGATTTTGGGACGTTGGGTAGGTAGTCCGTCTGATCGGGTTGGAGCTGTGTGTTGATTGTGGTGGTGGTGGTTAAAGAATGGCACGCCCTGCGGCAGGGAAGAGTCCCGAAGACGACTTTTGGAAAAAGAGAGTGTAATATCCACGCGTCGAAAGACCGTGAATAGTTGGAAAACCTGAAGACGTCTACACCGCGGAGAGAAGGTGTGGCGTGGGTGGAGGAAGAGGAGGAGGAGGAGGAGGAGAAAGGAGCGACCGAGGATAGGAGAGAAAAGGGAAACGGAAGGGGAAGGTGAAGGCCACGAGAATCCGGGACGGTTGCGGCACTCGCACAGAGCGGCAGCGTTGAGTGCTGTGGAAGCCCCAGGCACGCTTGTTGCACGCCAATCCGCTCGGCACACAAGCAGAAGGAAAGGAGAGAACAGGAGGCGGAGAAGGGAGCGGGGACTCTCAGGCCCACGACTAGGTTTGTAGGTACCTACACTAGCAGGCTCAGCAGACCAGGGACCGGACCCCTGTGGCCCGCTCCTCTTCAGGCCCGGCCTGGAAGCAACCTGGAAGGAGCGAGGATGGAGCATCCTGCTGGATACCTGTATATTCCAGGCACTGGGGTATGCACCAGTACACCACCTGCACCTACCTACCAGTGCCTGCTGCAGCACAGCAGCGTCGCCCCTAGCACTCACTGCAGGCTCGATTGCACCGTGCAGGGGGCGACGGCACATGTGGTGGAAAAAGAGAAGTGAAAAATCCGGAACGACACGGATTGGAAAGGGAGCGAGCATAAACACTGACTTTGACCCCAGTTCGTTCAGGGAAGGAGTACCTAGGTATGTATGTAGAGGAGAGAGCTTCTGCACTTCGTCGAGACTCTCGGGATTTAGTACAGTTGTTTGATCTGGTCGGCTAATCAGGGAAGCAGCAAATCTGAGGTGTAGTGTCCATGCCAAGTACCTCGGGTGGCTGTCTCGACGATAGCCTCACCTCGTCATCCACGGCCGCCCGCGATCCTCCCGTCAGCGGCTGCGCAATTGTTCAGTTCACACCTATTGTCCCCTGTTGAACCTGCATTTGCTGGCAGGTGTGACCTGCTCGACGAATAGAAATTGCCAATTTCACCTTCAATCAAAGGGGGACACCGTCTCGACGTCTCATGGCATCGTTTTTGTGTGTGTGAACGGGGGTTTGCGGCAACCGTCAACTGACTGCCCAACTGCTGCTGCTTCGTCCGATGTCCACCACAACGGGGAGCATATTGTGTCTTTCCATGGCCCTGATTCAGGAGCTGGCCAATGCACGGGATTTGCATGACTTCGACCGGGATCACAATCGCTTTGACGACCTTGGTTTCTGAGTGGCTGATAGCATCATCAGCATCCACTCTTAGGTCAGTCCTATTTGTCGACATGGCGCGAGGTGGATACGGTACACTACCTCTGCACTAGTGTACACTACAGATGCATTTGCTGCCCCGGCGAGCCAGGTGGTGCAACACACCGCCCCATTTTTCCAGGTACAGCCAGGCCCGGCTCGCCAATCACGGGCCAAGGCGGTTTCGAAAAAGAGCGCGAAGGGGACGCTCCGCTGGAGAAAGAAGCTTTCGCGTTGGAGAGAAGCGACCCCTGGTCTATTATGCAGGAACAGACCTCCTTGAAAGCTTCTTCCATCCACCCACTGGGGATACCTGGCGCTAAATCTCGCCAGAACACAGTGCCACACGGCGGCGGGCTAAGATTCGATACATCACCTTTCCTTCCTTGGGCGCTGTCGCCCAGAGGTATGATATCTTAAGTGCTCGTCTAGTAACAAAGTGGGACGTTGCTTAGTTTGCCGAGATGATGGCTGTGTCAGCATGCTATCCAATTTCAGGGGACGGCGAGACGGTGGGCGGACGAGGACGCCAAGCGAGCCAACCGCTCGTGCCTCGTTTTCATCGGCCTCTCCCGCCAAGGGCTATGGTAGGGCCAAGTTGGTTCGGTTACAAAATACCTCTAGTCTAGCACGTACATAGCTCGCGGGGATGGGAGTGAAACGAACGAGAAAGGAAAGCCAAACGGATCGGATAGACGGCCCCGACCTGATAAGGAGTGAAACGACGCCTCAAACGCTGGTCAAAGTTGGTATAAATCCAAGATTCACAAGGACTGAGTGTCGTCGAGATCTTGGCTCAAAGCTTCCGCATGACTTCATTACATCAATGCAAGTATTGATCATGATCGTAACTAATGCACCACTGCATCTAGCATCTGCAGTGCCCGACGGAATAAGGTATGGAAAGAATACATACATTGCATCTGCCGATCGCCCCTTCAACCATACCAAGCAGCCGACATACTGCGCGTAGCAATCGCCTCGCTACCCGAAAGACGTGCCCAGCGCAGCTAGACTAAAACCGATCGAGACTTCAATTTCACTTTCTCATTGCCGCGTAATATCCTTTGCTATGAAGATTGATATTTCTCTTGACGGATGCTGCCGACCCCGTCTTGTTGTTTTCCTGAAGAAAATCCCGGGAATAGCCTCTCTCTTCCTTTCTCCCCACACAGTTCCACGTCTGGTTCCAGTGTTCCACCGTCTCGGGCTCCCCCTCTTGCGGAGACGAAATAAAAGCTGACCCAACAATTCCACTCCATACAAAAGTCCGCCGGGGCATACATTAAAACGATCTGCAAATAGCTTGTGGGCGACGAGGGGAAAGCGGAAAAGCCAAGCAAATCACCCATACACGACCATAGCTCGACGTGGATATTGTTTCACTGCGTATCGTCATTCTAGTGGGTAGGACAACGTTCGAATGTCTTCACTGGATGCCATGTGGCCCGCAACCAAATGTCCGAAAGGGCCTTCTTCAGACAGGCCTGGCGCGCGGCACGATGGTATTGGAGACGATATCAAAGACATCTGGTGATTTTGGGATTGTGTGCACCTGAAACTATCTATTAATCAAACATGGGGAAACTCAACCCTGGGAAACGACCTATTCCGACAACAGGGTTACTGCTCTCCCTGCAGAAATGAAGTGCCGCTCACGTGGGCTGGCCCGGCCCTCGTGATGATTGACTGCCTTTACATCGTACTGTAAAAGGCGGGCGCATACTCGACCAGCCAATTTTTCTCAATCTTGGTAATGTCCCGGATAAAGGTCTTCTCTCCGGACTCCATGATCTCGTGGAAGATGACCCAGTCAGCCTTACGGTTGAACATGAGCGAGCTGGGATGCGCGTGCAGCACCGTGGTGCCCGACACGTTTCGGAAGGATCCGTCTGGCTGCATGCGCGCAGCATGGGCAAAGTAACCCGTCGTCAGGCACCGCCGGATTTGCTCTGCCTTGTTGACTCCAGCTGCTGCTGCTGCTGCTGCTGGTTGAGCGACTGACAGATCGTCCTCGGTGATTCCAAAGCGCTCAAGCCACCTTCTCAGCTGCGCGCGAATGCTCATGGCACGCGTCATGGCCTTGAAGTTGATCAGGTTGTCATGACAGAACCGAGCCTCTTTGCGTCCCTTGGTAACGAAAGCCTGGTAGACGTTCAAAAGCGTAAGATGGTCACCTTCATCAGCAGCGAACTTGCGCCTCGCGCTCTCTGCTTCATCCTTTCCGCCATCGGGCTGGACCCAGATGGAACCTCCCAGGCTGGTCATGGCTGCAATTGTCAACATTTCGCCAAGGCAGCCGAAGGAGGGGGCGGAGAGAAGGGTCTTGGCCATCATTGGTTCAACAGCCAGCTCAGCCATCCTCAGCCCCAGCGGCTTTGTGAGTTTGGCGTAATCATCCAAAGCACCGAGGGAGTACAGCAGCTCCAAGGCCCGCGTCATGAGCTCAGCAGGGGGTGGAGTGAGGAAATCAAAGCGCAAGACATTGTCGATACCCAGTGCCTTGAGCTGAAGAACGAAAGGTGCCAGGTTTGAGCGTTGAATCTCGGGAGGGTTGGCATCAGGGAGAGCCTGGTACGCTTCCTCGGTATAGAGGCGGAAGCATTTTCCGGCTTTCGTTCTACCCGCTCGCCCGGCACGCTGGGCCGCAGAGGCTTTGGATACGGGAGTCGCGGTCAATGTCTCTATGCCGGTTTGGGGATCGTATGCCCGCAGCTTGACAAAGCCGGAATCAACGACATAGACGATGCCATCAATGGTTACGGAGGCTTCGGCGATGTTTGTTGAAAAAATGACCTTTCTGAAATTGGCGGGAGTTTCATCAAACACGTACATCTGCTTCTCAGTCGGGAGGCCAGCGTAAAGTGGCAGAGGCAAGATGGCTTGGGATCCCGCGGGCAACTGGGCCGAGCGCTCGGAGACAGCTTCGACAGCCTTTTCGATCTCGTCTCTGCCGGTCAGGAAAACAAGGATATCGCCTTTTGGTTCGTTGGTATGAATGTCAAAGACGGTCGAGATGGCCTTCTCGAGATAGTCCTCGGCGGGCTTCTCGAGGTAAAGAATATCAATGAGGTAGGTTCGGCCCTCTAGGCTGACGATGGCGCCGACTGGGGCATCCTGCTTCTCGTCAGACTGAACATTGTCAGCGGACTTGGCCTCGTCAGTGCTATCGGAGAAGAACCTGAGAAATTCCTCGGCTTGCAGGGTTGCACTGCTGATGATAATTCTCAGCTCGGGGCGCTTCTTGCGGATCTTCTTGAGTAAGCCAAGCAAGATGTCGGAACTGATGGATCGTTCATGGGCTTCATCGATCATGATGACGGAGTAGCGCGAAAGCAAAGGATCGACGAGCGCCTCTCTAATCAGAAGACCGTCAGTGAGGAACTTGATGCGGGTTGCTTCAGAGGTGACATCCTCGAAGCGGATGGAGAAGCCGACTTCCTTTCCAAGTTCACAGCCAAACTCTTCGGCGACTCTGATGGCAACCGTGGATGCAGCGACACGACGAGGCTAGAACAAGGTTAGCATATCCATCATGATGTCAAGCGTGGATTGTTTGGTGTATCAAGGGCAGGACATACCTGAGTGATTGCAATGACCTTTCCATCAGCACACCACCCTGCTTTCTCGAGGAACTGGGGGATTTGCGTACTCTTTCCGGAACCAGTCTGACCGACGACAATGGTGACCGGGTGCGTTTCGACCGTGTACAGCAACGCCTCGCGATGTTTGGCGATGGGCAAAAGTGCAGATGGCTTGTGCAATGCGGGAATGAAGCCCGCGTCAAGACCAGCATCGGCTGCCATTTTGAGGAAAGCTCAGAGATCCAAGAACAACGATAGCAACAATGACCAGGAGATGTCCACTTGTACACGATAAGTACTCGCTCACACTGAAGTAAAGTTACAACAGCGGGTGGTGGCCGAAAATTATAGTTAGACTAATTATCACGGCCGGACGCCCGATAAACGGTGACGTCGTCAGCACTTTGCGTCTTCACTCACTGCAAACTGAAGGTTGCTTCAGTTATCGTCCTCCTTCTTGAAGAGCAACTCGAATTTCCCGCCCAAGTCACTGTCGAGTAGGTAGGTACCTATGTGTGTAGTCACCCGAGTTTACTTGGCTGCTTGAATGTTCGTTGTTCAAAGGGAAGGGCCCACTGGCAATGAGTCTTTGCAAGTCGTTCCCCCGCGTCCAGGCAGCACTGCAGAGTCACGGTCCAGTCGTCGTGATGGTTAGTTGCAATGATGGAAGGTGCGATAAGTAAGTAGTAACCTAGGTAAAGTAAGGTCACGTTCGCACAAAGTGTGGCGCCATACAGTGTATGATAGGTACCCAGGTACCTCTATTGTGGCGCACGTGAAACCAGCACTGCATTCGGTCGGTTCAATTGATTGATTCAAGCGAGAAAGTTGCAACATTGGGCTGCTCTCTCACTTGGTGTCGGGCTCCACTCATTCCGCCTCCCGTCATCGCAGTCATGTGGGCCGCCAGCCCGAACTCTGCTCATTCTGTGCATTCATCGGCAGGTGTCTCCCGGGCCCTTCAACTTAATCCCGTCCTGCCCTTCAGTTGCTTCCCGCAGCTTCTGTCATTCCATCACGCATCCGTCCTGTCCTCATACATCCCGTCCACATCAGTTGAAAAGCAGCGCCGAGCTAACACCTGCCTTCATCTGACTAAACCGCGGCGCCTCTGCAGGACAACTCCAGATCCACTCAACTTCCTGAACTCTTGCGCACATTTCGACTTGTGCCCTGCTTCATTCAGTTGTCGCTGTAGCCCCTACTACTGCTCCTCCACCATTTTGGACTTGAACGGCTTTTGATTCTCAGCTTTGTGCGAAGCGCGAAAGACTATAGACCGGGTGGTCTCAGGCTGACGACGGAGAGATCTCTTGCTTGCGTACTCTGTGGCATTGCAAATCCTCGCAGTTGTCTTGCCGCGCCATCTTTGTCGCGGCTTGCTCCTCTTCATCTCGAGAGCTGAAGAAAAAGTCGACCTTCTTTCTCGTGGCTCCTAGTTCTGCGCCTGTTTTCGTTTCGATTTCCTTTTCGTCATCTGCGCAAGCATTGATCTTGCCTCGCTCGTACAAAGGCGACGCCGTCCACAGCTGAGCAGAGCGAAAGCCATCGCGACAGCCCGCCCAGCCTCGGATCAAGTCTTCGTCTGATTTCTTTGCCTTCCATTCATCACGAGGTCCCTTAAAGGATAACCCCGCGCTTCTTGTCTTGATTGCCCCGCACAAAAGGTACAAGCGTGGCGTGAACCAATAAGGCTACTGACTGTTGCGCTCTCCATGTTGAGGTTGTAGGCTATTATCGACCGAGATGGGTAGAGAGAAGAGGACCACCGGCCATGGCGCGGCCAGAGGAGAGCATGCCAAAGCACGGCATCAGAGGGACCGCAAGGGGAACATCATGGATTGGACCGCGCCGCTCCCTCCTGGCCTGGTAGCAAAGCCTGACAGACCACAGTGCTCATCCAAACACAAGTCCTGGTTTGAGTTCATCGAGAACAAGGACAAGAAGAAGAAGCTGGAGATCGAGGTAATGACCGACCGGAACAGGACATCTGCGCCAATCAGGCGCTGATATGTGTGTGATTGTGAGAATAATGCGTTGACTAACAAGCAACAGTTCACCGAGAATCGCGAGCCCCCGCCAGGTTTCGAGTTCGTCCCCATTGGCAATCCCACCTTGACCACGGCTTGTAAAGAGCTTTCGCGAGAGCAAGGTGCCATGATCTTCATCGTCACGGTTTGTTACAATTCCAGCTATCCAACATCCAACGTGACCAGCTTCTGACGCTACGCTCTATAGTCTTCTAATGGCCAATTTTCCAAAGAGCTTAGTCGCCATCTGAACCGTGTTGGTATCCATGTTCGGGAGTCCATTGTCGAACAGGCACGCCAACAGTTGGGACAAGACTCAGATCTGCCTACACCTGATACGGGCGCCGGTCAACCGGAGCCCATCCCAGAGAAACAAGAAGACATCAACAAGCAAGCTGACGCAGCTATAAGGGATCTGTTTCCGCGAATACCGAACACTGACCGCCAAATGATCATTGAACACTCGTTCAACAAGGTAGGCGCATCATTCACATTGATAAACTGTCGAAACAAGTTCCTTGCATGGATCCACATTCTCACCTTTTCCTGTTTTAGGCGCGGCTACAAGATAAAAAGGATCCGCCGGTCGGTCTTGCTGCTCATGTTACGCTTTCACGTCGTGTTCAGCTTGCTGTTCTTGCTCACATCAGACATAACCACACGAGATATGACAAGCTTCTAAGGGAAACAAGCTATGTCAATGCTAGGAAAGCGGTTGAGGGTCTCTGTCTCGACTACCTGGTCAAGTGGCGAGGAGATGAGGAGACGGGCCGCGACCAACTTGATGAAATTTTGGCTGAAGTTGTCGTCATTTCAGATTCGGAAAGCGAAGATGAAGACGAGGACGAGGAGGACGATGATGGCGAGGATCAATCTTCCGACGCCTCTTCAGTGGAAGAGGTCTCGCCAGATAAGCAGACTGCGCCGGTCCGGTCCACCTTGCCTGCCTCAGCCCCGAAACCATCCCCCCCAATTGTCGATTTAACCCAGCCCAGTCATGCTCAACCAGGTCCAGCAATTTCGCGAAGAGCAAACAAGAAGAGGGCCAAGAAGGAAGCTCGGAAGGAGAGACTGGCTGCAAAGAGAGCCGAAAAGAGGGCCGAACGTGGCTTCAACAGGTACCGAGCAGTCGGCCAGGCCTGGAGCCAGGCGGTCGAGCGTCAGCGCCTTGGGAATGTTGAGCATGTGCCCAGCCCTACCGCCACAGACGGCGTCGATAGGTCAGTTCCTCAGGTTCCTCAACCGTGGCAGCCTTCTGGGCCAGAGAATGTCCGTCCCCCGGATCAAGGTATATATTACACAAGGGAACCACTACAACAAGCGCGATATGTCTACGACAACAGCCCCCAACAATCAGGGCCGGTCTATAGCAGCGTGCAGCGGCCTAGCTTCGTTGAAGCAGCGCCACGAGTGGCCGATCCTAATTTTTACAGTGAACAAGATTGGCCTATCCAGCGCCTGTCGCTACGAAACAGCTCCAGACCTATAGTTGGGGCTCAAGCTGCTTCTCATGCGAGCACTGTTGTTGAACGGGTAAGACATCATGGCGAAGACCTCAGGGACTATCTCGTGCCGTCCGTCGAAGAAAGATCCCCAGATGTTGCCAAGTTCCCGTCCGAGTTTCCTAGTCAAGAGTACAGGCCACCGCGGGAGGCCCATAACGATATGTCAAGTAGGCAGGTGCATTACACACTGAACACTCGAGAAGAGTTCATCACGCTTCCACCGCGGAGTGACGGCATACGAACAGCCACGGTGCCTGCTACACGCCCAGAGTCTTACATCGTGGTCAGCTCACAACCGCGTGGTATGACTCGAGCCTATGCTCCAGTTGCAGGTACTGGTAACCCCCATGACATGCCCGTATATCGTGACGATGCCCATCTCGGTGATTACGGACCACCCGTCAGAGCGGATACCCAGTCCTGGATCAGAGACGACAATGCTCATCCTAGGTCGGAGGCCTGTCCGATTGTGATTCACGATTCTCCCAGACCAGTGAGGCATGAGAGCGTAGTCCCGGCGCGCTTCCCTCCAGAGGCACGCCCTCCACCACTGCCTAGAAGGGAACACGAAGACGTCGACCATTTGGGCGCTATTTACGTTGGGGACCGTGACACGTGGCGTTCTGACCCCAGAAACGGCCAGTATGTCGAGGATCAACTGGGAGACTTTGCTGAGATCGTAAGGGTGTCCAACAAGTTTCCAAAGCGTCACGGTTCCCAACCAGTACCGGTAGATGTAGAGTTTTACGACTCTCGGCCGACCGCTCCACGAGCGCAAGATCATGGGCATGCCTATCGTGAGGGCCAGCGGATCTATGACTCTCAATTAGGGCACGCAACTTATCCGCGAATCGAGCGCGTGATTGGAAGGTACGAGCAACCTGCCGAATATCGCTCGGAGGAGGTTGTATCAGGCATCAAACGGTATGCCGATGGATATCCAAGTGGCAGCGCAAAGCGGCAAGAAAGAATTCTGGGTATAGAGTATGTTGCTGCATCTCAACCGCAATGTTCCCTTCATTACACCTTTTCATTCTCGTCATGTACTAATCAAAGGCTTCACAGGTCTGAGGGACATTTCCATCCTGTCACTACATACGTTCCTCTAGATGACGACTACCGGTACCACGGACAACCTCAAGTCACACATGCGCCACTGCGGACTTCCATCTACCCGCCAGTTTCTGCTTATCCGCCGCGTCACTAGCAGCGGTGTCGTACGATATAGTGGCATCGTGGCATATGACAGAGATCTCGTGTTGAGTCGAACAGATGTACTGTTGAATTTCCTACGAAACCTTGCATGCGGGTATATCAGCATGCTCTTTCTCATCTTTTCCAGCCACGGATGGGTGGCAGACCTTCTCATACATAGCGTTAAGATACCCTGTGGATATTGGAGGACTAGAGCGGAGGCATGTTGTTCAAAGATGCATGATCAGGGCGTCATGGATATCGTGTATGGGTGGCAGCTTGCATTTTTTTTGGCGTTTAAAACTGGCTTAAGTGCATGGGACCTTCATGTGCTGGGCGGACGTTTGGTCTTGATTGTCAAGGCGAGGAGCATCAAGAGCGTATCTTCTAGTGGATGAGGGTTTACATGATACGCAATTACAGCGTATTGCATACCAATATGTTTAGCATTAGATCGAGTAAGGCCATGGTGTAGGGTGTTGTATTTTATTTTTTTGCTTTAACAGTCATGCGAGTAAGGATGGAACTACCAGGCATGCGAACATGCTCATTGCAGCGCGTTGGCAAACTCTGATATGATGTACAATGATAAGAACATCTGAAAGTCTGTAACATTGAACTTTGCGTACTGAATTCGGACAGTCGACTTTCGATGCGGAGACGAGTGATAGTAGATTACGAACGTGAAGGTATCCAAGGTTTGTGGACAGAAGGTGGATCGACGAGCTCATTTCTCTTTCCCAACCAACCCAAGATCGGAAATCGTAAAGATGGGTATTCACAGTAATCTCCAAACCGGCTTCCTCATGCCCCTAACCATATCAAACCCAAAACCCTTGTAACGAAGAACTCCGAAACACCTCTCACCTCTGTAGAATTATAATCATAACTCCATCGTCAAGCCAGCATGGCCTGTCTCTCCTCTTGTCGTTGTCGTTGCCGCTGCTGCCTCTCCTCTTCTTCCGCTCTCGACGGTGACGATAACTCGGTATCGGGAACATTTGGTAGCGGCACTTGTGGTACTGGCTGTACGGGCACCGGTTGGTTCTTCGCAGCCACCTCGGCCTCCAAAGCTGCCAACTCTTCTTCGACTTCGTCTTCGTCCTGGTTGGAGATGCGACCTCCTAACATTTCGCTTACTTCCTGTTTTTTGAGGGGCGTCATTGTTAGCAAGCCACTCATTCAACATTCCCAACAATTCCGCCCCCTTCAGAAGAAGGATCAAAGGGGAGGACAAAAAAATCTCAAGACAAACCTGTTGATAAGCAATCTCCTCTGCCGTCTCCCCCATCATCTTCTCGACGTGCTCCAACCCTCCCATCTCGGCGTGTATCTCTTTCAACACTTTCGTCCCCTGTTGCAGACCAAAAAATACGTCTTTTTGTATTAGCGCAAACTCCACGCTTGAGGTTAGTTTTTCCAGTTGCTCCAGTTGCGCATCGGTTTTTTGGAGCAAAGTTTCCTGGTACTTTTTGCGTCGGAGAGCGAGGAGCGCCCGCTGCTTGTCCCCCTTGGCCAACATCTGGCGCGCGATGGCAGTTTCTCGGTCGGTGAGGACGGTGATTTTGCGCTGGTATTGGTGAAGCTTGTCGCGCTGGGTTTTTAGGTCGAGGATTGCTCTGGAGGGAGGAGAGAAGGTGTCAGTTGGGTTGACTTGGGTTCTTGTTGGTTGGGAGTTGGATGTTAAGGGAGGAGTGCGTTGCGTACTTGTCTTGCGCCGTGACGCGGCTTGGCGAGTTGCCCATGGTTATGGCATACGAGAAGGATTTCGCCCAGTCTTAGGTTCGGTAGGTCCGGTGGGGATGGGGATCGGGATTGGGAGATCCTCGGCGGAGGGAGTGCTGTCTCGTTCGCACGAAGGCACGCACACGACGACGATCCGGGGAAGCGTCGATGCGGGAACGGACTTTGTGAAGCGGCGGGAGGGTGTTGTAATTGCACGGGGCTGGTGTGAGACGTCACTGCTGGGTTACCGGCCTTATCATTGGACAAAATGTAGTGCCTCGAAGATGGGCATTCCAACCAATATTCTGTACAGCAGCTTCTATAACTCCTTATCAGCGCTCACCCAACGCCTCCGAGCGACGTAATCGGACCATGGCATTGTAGAGGTATGTATGGCCCCCCGCAGCCCAAGCTCACATGCAATGCCATGATCCGTTCAAACCAAGACTGTTCATTCCAGACAGGTGACAGCAGCATCCAGATCTCTTTTCAGGCATATTTTATGCCATCTGGTCATCATCCATGGGCTAGACAAGCACGGCATTGAAACAGCGTAAAACCCCCGTCGTTCGGTTAATTGGCTGTGACACACCATCTCCACCGTTCTGGAATCACGCAGATAAGGTACCTCTATGGTAGGCTGCACAATTACACTATACCTAGCCCACGGCACCACCTACCTCGACATGCCAGGCTACCTCGCTACTGTTTGACCATTTCAACCATCCTGGATCCTACCAACATCTATCTCATCATTCACGTCTTCCAACCCACCGTCTGTCAACACTGCGCTTTCAATCATCAAAGATCCAAACGCTTTCCAGGAGAACAGGTGGCCCATCATGTCTGCGCCAACCGACAGCAATGTTGTAAGTCCCTCCCCACCGAAACTCAGGGTGATCTTGCAGTAACCAGCAGATTCAAGTTGCCCCCTCCTTCGCGAAACGGGAAATTCCTTGGTATACTAATCCATTTGTTGAACAGTCCAAGCACGCAACGGTAGAACCCGCGCCCGAATCCCCTACGACAGCTCGACCGTTTGAATTGGATGACGACGAAGCTCAGGAGAATGTCCCCTTGGGCACCGATACCACAACAACTGCTACCACACAGAATACGTCTGGTTCTGACGAGAACCCTCCAGCCAAGCCTCCCCGCCCATTGACCGAGGAACAAAAGAATCAGCAGATTCTGAAGGAAGCGTTTCCCTCCATCGACCTTACTGTCATCAAGGCAGTCCTCAGGGCCAGCCGCGGACAGATCGAGCCCGCCTTCAACGCTCTTCTCGAGATGACGGATCCCGATGCAGTTCAGAACGATGACGTACCCCCGCCGCCTCCCCCGAGGCCCGCGGCGCAACCCGGCGGTCCTACTTCCACCGAAAGGTCCCAACTGGAGGCTGATGAGATATACGCCCGTCAACTTGCAGAGCATTTCGAGAGTACCGCCGCGTATGAGGCCAGAACCGCCAACCGCGGAACTCCGGGCTCTTCTCGTGAGCCCACTGCCGCCCGCGGACCGCACATGCCTCCGCGCCATCGGCAGGAGGCGGGCCTGAAGCCAAATGAGCTGTACAACGACAGGGAGCACAGCTTCATTGATGATGATTTGCCGGTTATCAAGGAGAGCTTGCGCAAGGGGTTTATCGAGACACAGAGCAAGGTCAATTCGTGGTTCACAACTATCAAGAAGAAGATTGACGAGACCTTTGATGAGGATGAAAATGAGCGCCGGCAAAACGAGAGTAATGCGTTCATGGGAAGACCAACTCGGAATCAGCAGCGCAGAAGTGCAGATTACGACCGTTATGATGCTGATCCGGCCATCCTCAGCGATGATTTTGCGGGCATGAAGTTCAACAATGATGGCAGTAAGTCTTGTAGCATGGCTCTTGTGCGCGACTGTTACTAACACGATCATCACAGCCCCCTACACCGCCCAGAGCACACATCAGCAGCTGTACGGTAACCCTCATGCGTTCAGACCACCACCACCTTCCAAGTTGCCCAAGTCCTCAGACGGCAGGAAGGTCTCGTTTAGAGATACGGTGGAAGACATCAGCGCCTACGACGCATCACCGAGGATGCAGCCCAAGGACAGTGCTGCTGCGGCCCCGGGAAGTAGCAGTGCTGCTGGATCGGCAACCAAGACAAGCAAATGGCAGCCTTTGTCGTCAGTTGACCCGAATCCGATTGCGGACAATGATCCATTCAGCCTGGGAGACAGTGACGACGAGTTCGAACAAGGTCATAGGCGTAACCAATCTGGCAGCAGTCAAATCAAGATGGAGGATAAGACAGCAACGGATGCGGATCACGAGAGGTTGAGACAGGCAACGGCCGATGCCATGGCTGACAGTTTGGTGGAGGGGGATAAGACGAAGAAGAGTGAACAGACGAAGTAAAGGATTACAGGCAGTTGTTCGAGGCAATAGGAAGTTTGTATAATCCGCTTTCAATCAAGATACCTTTTAGTCCATGAAAGAAAGGTGGATGGATTCAACTGTTGGGTTACATGACATTTCTTTTTTTTTCTTTTTCTTTTTTTTTCTTACATCAACGAGCAGGGCAAGGTTGCCAACCGATGTTCCTCGCTGTCTTTCCAAACTTTCAGAATGCTTTCAGGCTAGACTAGGTGTCATCCCAAGTGGTCCCTCGAATGTGAGATGCGGGCAACAGCACATGCTTGCCCCGCACTGCTGGAGAAAGCTCCAGCATGGGATGCCCCTCTTCACAACGACTGCTCATCAATCAGCCTTGTAACACAGGCACATGGCAGCATGACGACTTTTCATTGGCTTGTTGGACGACATGAACCAGCGGTTTGAATTAGGCATCTTTGCGACCTTTCCGCTTTCTCTTGTCATCCAAGCGAGAACGTGAACTATTCAAGGGCAGGGGCTCCCAAGAAAAGGTCTCCTTCGGTGGAAACCCCATAATCGTTTGTCACAGTGTTTGAGAGAGATGTAACCGGCGAGATGGAAGCTCAGAATAGCAGTACGCTTTTTGTATTAACCTCTCAAAGATACGACAAACTGCTCACGAGACCTTTTACTCGTTACGAACACACCTTTTGCATATGAGTGACATGTCTCCCCAGGATGACCTGAGGGCATGAAACGGGAATGTGTCGATGATCGGTACTTCAGAGGTGCAATAACTAACTCCAAGGCCAGGGCGTCCTTAGCAGAGATTCACGCCAATTGGCGGGCATCTGTGTCTGTTTGAGGTGCTGTCATGTTAAGATCTCCGAAAGGTCGGAGCTAGGTGCTGGAGCAACCAAGATGCCGGTGGCTTGGCGCCTCCGACAGCGACACTGGCAGCATCAACCCTGACAGCCAGCGCCTTGGTTCCATACGCGCCTTCCACTTCGCTATCGATAACCACACCTCATGTAACACGAGGGACCCGATGTGGATGGGGGACTCGGGGACCCAACATCAACCACTCACTTCAGCACCTGCCCACCTTGGTTCGGGTACCTTTAAGCTTCCCTTTCCACATCCTTCAAGCCTCCCTTTCTTTCCTCTTTTCTCGCTGTATACTCAAAAGCTGGTAGGTTGACGGGCTGGTGCTTAACTTTTTACTAGAACCACTGGAATCCAGCTGGCTCGGGTCCTCGACTACTACTACTTTCGCTTTTCCTCCGAGGTCTCATCACCAAAGGCAACCGCAAAGGTTCTCGGCCATCTCAGACACCGTCATCTTTCAGTTTCGAGACGGAGCATCCAAAGAAAGTACTTTGTAACTGAACTCCATCCATCCCTCACAGACCACTCACCTCACTGCATCAGTGCATGTCTGAAGAAGCTTCCCCGTCCACTCCCACCTCCCGTCTATCCGGATTCCATCCCGACCTTCACGTTCCATCCAACCTCGCTAGCGCCTTTTTCACCAGTAATCGACTCCGTAACTGGTCCTTCAAAAGCTTCACATTCCCACCGAGGCAAATCTGGCGCTGGACTTTGACCTCATTCCTCCACAGCCGTCCTCGTTGCAAGTCTCTCATCCTGTGTACCCGACATCAGGAGGAAGAACTTATCATTGTATGTGTCCAACACTCTTATGGCTGAATCTTCACTACTCCACATCCTATAAAGACCCTTCTTAGCTAACACACAGATCATAGGTCACCTCCGGGACGGATTCTAATCACCGAACCGAATCTCTCGTGATCTTGGGTCTTGTGTTCCCCTCCAGAGACCTGTCTTATCGGTTCATGTGCTAGACCGTGAAAGCAACTACCGGCATTGTCTCACCACAGACATCAACTTTCTTACCGCATCGCCAGGCTTCTGCATGTCAGTAGCCGTCGTTAGGCACCATGTAAGTCTGCGATCTCTAGCCTCACTTTTCCCTAATCTCACTAGCATGAGATGAAAGCCTTCTTGATTCATTTTCATCCGTTATCGTTGGGCGCTAAGACGATATGACACTACAGGAAGTTCGGCAAACAAATACAGAAGCGGCAGCTTGAGGTCCCCGAGTATGCTGCCAGCTTTGTAAACTACAAAGCTCTCAAAAAGGTATGCGTTCCGGTTGCTGTTATTGTTGTTGCTGCTCGCGCGCATTATCATGATGTTGCCAAGCCTGGACTTGGGGGCTCATATCAGCATTCTTGGCTCTTTGCGATTTTGAAAACTACATCGTTCTATCACAAGATACGGTTGACTGCGACGCAGATGCTGACACTTTCACATACAGCTTATCAAGAAGCTATCGGCGACCCCTATTCTACCTCCGCAAACGGACCTTCGACGTGCACCGGGCGAGCCTCTAGATACCCAGTCTGCTCTTCAGGCCAACAAGGCCACGTTTTTCTTCCAAATAGTACGTAAGGTATTTCTCTCAGTACCTTGCATTATTAACAATTGTCTAGGACAGAGAGTTGGACAAGGTCAACGCTTGCTATGTCCAGAAGGAAGCCGAGCTAAAGATTCGGCTCAAGACGCTTCTTGACAAGAAGAAGGCTCTACGATCAAGAAGCGGCGGGACCTCACGACGGTCCACCAAGTTCACTACCCTTCAAGAGGGTTTCCAGCAGTTTGTCAACGACCTGAACAAATTGCAACAGTTCGTCGAGATCAACGGTACAGCTTTCTCCAAAATTCTTAAGAAATGGGACAAGACAGCAAAGTCCAAGACAAAGGAGCTATATCTCTCAAGAGTCGTCGAGAAACGACCAGCCTTTAACCCAACCGTCATCAGCGAGCTGTCAGATCAAGCGACCACCAGTTTACAAGAACTGGGAGCGTGGGCTGATGGGGACAACGTCAGCTTCGAAACCAGGCCCGATCACGACCATGTCGTTAGCACTCAACATCTCCTTGGGACTGACGAGGGCGATGCCGATACGTTACTGCTTGACACCGTTCTCTCGGGAAACATCGACTCCCTCAAAGATATGCTGGACCGTTTGAAGGCCACAGCAGCTCCAGATGGCTCTGCCGATGTCTCGCTAGCGGAACGGGTTACGCGGACGTTCCTGGCGTCCATCAACGAAGGCTCGCTTGAAGCGCTCAAGGTCCTTCTCGACACTGGACTTGTCGACATTCAGTCCTGGGATGATATCAATGAGCGGAACTGTCTCCACCAGGCGGCTATATATGGTAACTCGTTTGTTCTGGAGTACGGTCTGTCGAAGGGAGTCGACGCGGAGAGGACTGACGCGTATGGACGTGTACCTCTACACTATGCCAGCACGCATGGGCGTCTCGACATGATTGACGCCTTGCTCAATGGTATGCTCACACTCATCTAGATGCTGTTTTCTGGTGCACGACTAACCTCCCGGTCTGTAGCTTCCCCCAAGACTATCAATCTTATTGACCACGACAACTTCACGCCCCTGGTCCATTCCATCGTCCGTAACCATCTTGAGTGTGTCGGTAGGTTACTCGAGAGGTCTGCCCGGATAGACCCGGTGTCTGATACCGACCATGTACCACTAAACCTTGCCTGTCAACATGGCTCAGTGGCAATCGTCGAGCTGCTTCTCAAGCATGGTGCCAAGATTCTTGCTGACGCCGAGGGTCTTTACCCTCAACATTTGGTCGCAAGATCAGGGCAGACTCCGGAGATTCTAGTGCTGCTTAAGCAGTACGGAGCCGATCTCGATCAGATCGATAAGCTTTACGGCTGGACCCCTTTGGTTCATGCAGCAAGTGAGGGTAATGTCCCGTGCCTGCAGGCTTTGCTCGAGATCGGCGCAGATCCCAACATTCTCGACGAGAAGGACCTTCCTGCCATGTACTATGCGGCTTGGGAAGGGCATCTCGAGTGTATGAAGCTTCTCACACCAACTAAAAAGGAGAAGGCGGCAAGCGAGCTCCCACCTATACACATTGGAGGAGCCTTGCCTCCCATGGCTAGCAGCACTGCGCCAATGCCCATGTCCCTCGACGCGATTGATCCCATCCCCGCGCTCGAATTACCGCCCCCTATCATTCCCCTACGCCGGTACGGTCACAACTTTCTTGACACCAAAACCGTTGTGCAGATCAGCTTTGAGGAAGACAGCGAACAACCTCTACTATTCTTCCAGGACGGCAAGTATCCAGCCGCTCGCCTTACCATCTCATCCAAGTCATCGGACCTCATCCCCAAGAATATTATTCTTCCCTTCCAAGAAGACACTAGGGTTGCGTCATTTCAGATCGACAATCTTGAATCCTTCACTTTGGACTTTGAGGTATTCCCGACGTATGGCGCCAAGGTCATTGCGAAGACTGTCGCTCTACCAAATATCTTCCGTGCATTGCTCAGCAGCTCTGGCAAGTGCTGCCTGCCGCTATTTGACCCTCGGCTGCGCGCCATTGGCCAGATCAGCTTCCACGTCCAAATTATCAAACCCTTCAGCGGAACGCCGCTCGAGATCACGGACTTTGAGACGTACTGGAAGGCCACGAGCCAGTTTGACACAAACACAAGCACCTTCGTCACCGGCTCCAGTCTGTCGGGCGACTTTGTCCAGATCTACGTCCAGCACACCAAGGACGGGGTTCCTGTACTCTGGCCCAGATGGACCATCAACTGCGGCGGTATCGACGTCCCCGTGTCCACGCTTACCCTCGCCCAGTTCCAGACCGTCACGGCAGCCGCCAGAAACGGAACCAACCTCTCCGAGCTGTCTACTTACACCCTCGACCAAATAGCCGACGTCCATCGCATCCTCGCCAACATCGGGATAACCCTCCACGAGGCCCTCTTCCTGCTTCCCAAGGGCATGCACGTCAACATCCAGGTCCTGTACCCGACGGCCGACGAAAAAGCTGAATCCAATAGCAGCACTGTGGCGGACGACGTCAATGAGTTCGCCGATGCGATCCTCAGCGTCGTCTTCGACCATGCCCGCGCGCAGAGGGCTGAAAGACCCGATAGCGTCCGGTCGGTGGTGTTTAGTTCGTATAATCCTACCTTGTGCACGGCGCTGAACTGGAAGCAACCGAACTTCCCTGTGTTCTTGTGCAATGATATGGGAAGAGAGGATCGGAAGCAGCAGCAGCAGCAACAGGGATGTCGTAGCAAGGGAGATGGCGACGAGGATATGGGCGGGACTACGGCTGCTAGTAGACGGGAGGCGGCAGATGAAAGGACACTGCAGAGTGACGGGAGGAGGACGAGCTCGATTAAGGATGTGGTGAGGACGGCGACGAGCAATAACTTGATGGGGCTGATTTGTTGTTCAAGGCTGTTGGTAAGTTTTCTCTCTCTGTCTCTCTCTTTCCCCCCAACACTTTCCTCTTAAAGTGAATGTTTTCACTAACGGTTGTGAATGACTACAGGACATGGTGCCAGCACTGGTTGACGCTATCAAGTCTCATGGGTTGGCTCTGGTGGTGGACAAGTCGGGTGAACCTGAGGCGGCGAATAGCAAAGACGGTGGTGATAAGCAGTTGGGGATTAGTGGTGCGTTGGGAGGATTGGCTGGGGCAGATCCCTTTCCCAAGTTGCCCAAGGGCGTGGATGGGTTGCTCAAGAGTAATGGTGTGTTGAGGTTTAATGAGTATATTGATGTGTAGTTGCGGGATGGAAGGCAAAGACGGGAGAGGAGGTTGGGTAATGTATACGTATGAGGGAGTCTGCTGGTAGACGATTAATGAAAATGACGATGACATTGATGTTTTATTTGTACGTTTACTCTTGACTATAGTATCTCTTTTTAGCTTTCCCTCAACTTCTTTCTTCACTTATTTTCTCACGTTCTCTCTTTAGTTCTCTCTTTAGTTCTCTCTTTAGTTCTCTCTTTAGTTCTCTCTTTAGTTCTCTCTTTAGTTCTCCTATCACGTTCTTCCAAGTTTTGGAATGGTTCTTCTCCTTCCCTTTGTTGATATCCATACATTCAATCATACGGTCTATTAAACAGCCACGTCGCTTCATCATCGCAGCAGACGAACAGGGTAAGGAGCAACATGTGACCGACAACGTTATCCCAAGAGTAAGTCGGGTCGGATCGGTAATCAGCCACTCCGTTGTCTCTCCAGACGGACAAATGCATCTTTCTCACAACATCAACTTCTATTTCCAGAGCCCGCCATCAGCCATCAGCCGTTCCTCGTGGCTTCCTCAACCAGTCATTGCAGTTAGTCAAGTCAGCTCATGAGGCTGTGAATTGCAAATAGTGAGCCAAACATTCCACTGCAGTAGGATAACGCCACTGGACGTTCCGAGAGCCGAAGAACCTTCCAAACTTCCAATCGTGCATGCATGTACACTATATCAGCCATCATACACTAGCTGATACGGTTGTCGATCTTTTGTTGGTTCCAAAGTTTTGATCGCTTCGGTACTGTAGAGTCTCATACATGACGTGACGTTTTCGTGGGATATTTTGCTGTTTTACACGTACTGTACACCTCGGCCGGCATTTAGTGTAGTTTGTTAGCGCGGTACCGGAACCTTACAGAATTTGACAGGTTGGTGGCGGGCACACCAATGATCTTTTGTAGAAAAGATTACCATTGTCGCCACTTGCCATTTCACCACGCTAACAACGTAGTGCACTCTGTATTATATCTGCAGAGGTGCAGTACGGTATAAGATACGGCTGGGCGTGTATTTTACTCGCCACTGATATGCTTGGTATTCATGTACTAGATTAGTGTAGTGTATTGGTTATGACGACCAACTAAAGCATTTACATAGTAGATGGAAGCAAAACTTGGTTGGTTGAGACAGATATGAATATGCTCAATGCGAATTACTGGATGGATGACGCAGGTGCCGAAACCCCAGTTTTTGTGTTTCTACACTAATTGCATTTGAAGATAGCCATCACTTTCTCTTATACAAGTTGTGCATTTCCCTGACAAGTATGGCATTGATGTCCTTGACGATCGATTTTTCCAATGGAAATACGTCAAAGCACGGGCACACAGCAATTTGGAGAGGCCATCTTCAAACACTCCTCCCATCGCCATCAGCAGCAATCTTGGATTACGACGTCGACTACGACGACGCCGAGACATGAATGACAGTCCAAACCCAAACTCGCAGCTGTCACCGGCCCGCTAAACTCACACGACAAGCGGAAAACCTCCCAAGTCCCGGCCATCCGCAAGGGCCGCTAGCTCGGGACCTTGCCAAGACCGGGGAATCCTGTCCCATTGTGAGGCTGGGGCGACTTGGAATTAGAATTGAGTATGGAAAACCGCCGAACACCACCGCCCTCCGATCTGGCATCGATGGAGATGTTTAATTTCGCTTTCCCCCCCCCTCTCGTCGCCCTACATGTCAATTTTTTCTTCTCTGGTCAGGTGGACACATCAACTGGAAGCGGAACGCGGACAATCTGGAAAAGGTTGGTGTCCAGGGCACCGTTGTTCTTTTTGAACTTTGTCGGGTTTCGCCGTTGGTAACGTGATGCCTTTATACGTAGCGCCTACACAAACTGACAGTATTGTGGGGGATTTTATAGGGAAGACACAAGTGCGGAAAGTAGAAAGGTGAAGAAGAGCGGCCAGGCCGTGAGAAAGCGGGATTGTGATCGATGCTACACTAGAATAAAAAAAGAAACCTGGAAGGGGAAATGACATTGACGTAGAGAAGAGGCTGAAAGGGTAAGTATATAGATTGGTGGAATAGACCCTTTTTTTTGTGTTGTTGGTGTTGGTTTTGTCTGTCCGGTCGTGTCAATTGCCACTTTGTGAGTCTGCGGTGTTGGTGTTGTTGGAGCCCTCTTGTGATCCTCGTATTTCCGGGGTAGGTAGTATTGGTTCTCTCGTATGCTGTTCGGCTGCCCTTCTGTCCATAGCTAGAGAGGTGCCGCTGTTGCCGGAACTGCCCGTCATATTTTTTTTTTCTTTTTTTTCTTTTTCTCTACCACTGCGCATTTCTTCCAGTGGGCTAGCGAAGTAGTGTATAGTAGTTCAACCTTGGCTTGATTGTTAGCTTGAGACTTGCGCCGGCGGGTCCTCGGATAAAGGAAAAGGGCAAGGAATTCTCTGCTCTCATTGGTTAAAACCACTCCAAGGCGAGCAATGGCCAACTGGACGCTGGGCATGTCAGCAGTCGCGCCTGGCCATCATGAAAGTGGGCAGAGTGCCCTGCTCAAGATACCTAGGGTATGTAGAGAGCTCACTGCAAGTACCATGCTAGCAATCAAACCAGGGGTAAACTGTAGGTACCACGATCACAGGCATCGCGGTTGCCAGAAGCGCTGAAAATGCGGCTGAATTGGAACTGGAATGTGCAGCACCTCAGGCAGGTCCACCACCTCGCTCTCGCAAAGTAGAAGCACCTCAAGGAGGGCTTTGTTGTTGCTGGATTCCCGTCGTCTTTGATGGCATCCACAGAAGCATCCACGCCTTGTGGGGCCGCGGTTATAGGTACATCAGACACATGGAGCCTGTCTTCCGGTTTTATCCCCTCTCGCTTCTCTTCAGAATACGAAATTATACCCAGTTCACGTCATTGACCCGTGTTCTCGCCATTGTTTTGAAACTCTGTTTTGGATCATCTTGGGTATTCCCAGATTCCAGGACCTTGGGACATCTCCGAGTTTCCATCACTGAGGTGCAATCGCAAACACAGCAAAAAAAACAAAACAAAAAAAGAGGCCCGCACTGCACCCAAGCGAGCGGTCTGGCTTTCATCTCATTTGGACTTGTTTTTGTGGCACCCTCCGATCGACATAGGTTCGCTCAAGTGATGCTCGCCCGCTCCACCAAAGAAGCGCACAGTCTTCGAACCCGTTCATCCCAACTTCACCCAGACACAGCGGGCGTCAGTTCACTTCCCTTGTCCACACAGACAACGGCTGTCATCTCAACTCTTCCACTTCCATCCCTTCCTTGACTGTCACCTGCTTGGCATCTGGAAACATACCTCTACACTACATCAGTACATGGTGATCGGAGAGCATCCAAAAAAGAAAACTTGAAGGAAAAACAAAAACAAAAAAAAAGGGAAGAGGCATTCCACTTTGTTACTAGGTTCCCCTCAAATCGATAGCACATCACTGGCTTCGCACCATCGTATCCGAATCCAGAACGCTTATCTGGGTGACATTGACCGTCGTACCGCCTCTTTTTAGAAGGTAGAGGTAGAGCACCGCCCTCCGAGGAACTCGCGCTACCAACGCCCGGAAGCACCACGGAACCGGCTTACACACAGGCGGACGGACCATTGTGCTTGGCTTTTAGCTCCAAGACACATGCCATTGGAACACCAACCAACCTGCTCAAAAGAATCTCGCCAAAGCCCGCGCCCCCTGTCCATCGCGCCCATTTCCAACCCCATCCAAGCACTCGCTCTTCGGCCAGAGACTGTTCCTTGCTGCCTACCGCTGTCGCCGACTTTTCTCTCCGACAACAAAACACGCTCAACACCACCACAACCTCCGATACACAACAGCCCGGGTCTCAATCACTGCCGCGCAAGCCGCCCTGCAAGCAAGCAGTCTTTGCTTTTCAGCTCTCTCAGCCTGTCCTTTGCCGCCCAATAGCTGATCGCCCAGGTCCCTCTGCGTTTGCCCCTGCGTCTGCGACTCGACGCCCAGAACTGTCCGCCAGCCGAGTAGCCGCTAGTTTTAGGTGACGGATCCGCATCGCGCTATATCCAGCCAGAGAGCGGTCTTCGTTCCATCTTGCGCCTCAACTCCTCAAACAACTCCCCCATCAAAGCCCAAGAAAACCCTCTCGCAAATCGCGACCGATTGCTTTTCAATCTGCGTGCTGGACTAGGGCTCAGCCCATCTAAAGGTACGTTTGCTTGCGCACTAGCCCTTGCCACTCACTGTCTGTTGAATTATTTCCGCTATTTCTCACCATCAACAATGCGCAACTGTTTGCGCTTGGCTTCCCTTATCTCGGAGCCTTCGGCGTCTTGGTGGCTCCTCCTTTTCTCTTTCCATTTTGACCTTTCGTCCAGTGCTTTTTCTCATACTCACCAATGAGCATCTCGAGTCCCTACCTATTGCTAACATGACACCCCGGATCAGAAGGGACTTCCCACGGTTGGAACGTCAGGTTTTCAACATGTCCAGCAACAACACAAGTACGGGCATCTCAGGTCCCGAGGCAACAACCGCCCCTGGGACTCCTGCTGACCCGAATACAGCAACGGTCAACGACCCTACCACGGCGGCCCCGCCTGGGCCGACCACTATCATCAGCACCACCTCAGTACCGTCAGTGCAGCCGCCTATTAGTACGACTTCCTCGGCTTTGCCGACTTCTCCTTCATCATCCTCAGCTATACCACCACCATCGCCATCATCAACGCCTACTACCTCGACGACGCAACAGCCGCCACCAATAAGCTCTACCACAGCTCCGCCAACGACATCAACACCGGCGCCGCCCACCACTACGCAGCAGCCGAGCACGGAAACTTTTACTAGCGTCCAGATTATCACGACTGAAGGGGAAACACGAACCAAGATTACGCAAATCATTACTACCGAGACAGTAGTACCCTCCGCGAACCCCACCACCTCCAGTTCTTCGACCACCACATCGGCCGGGGCCATTGATGCTACTAAGGGTGCTTCCTCTGGCGGTGGTGGATTGGGTAGCGGTGGGAAGATTGCCATTGCGGTAGTGGTGCCCATTGTTGCCGTTGCCCTTTTGGTATTGGCCGGTATCTTCCTCTGGAGAAAGCGGAAGCAAAGGAGGGATGCCGAGGAACAGAGGCGAAGGGAAGTGGAGGACTATGGCTACAACCCCAATGTCGACCCTACGATACCTGCCGTTGCCGGCGGTGGTGCTGCTGGAGTGTACGAGATGAGGGAGGATGGAACGTCCGGGTACAGGGGCTGGGGCTCTACGACCCTCGCGAGTTCGGCTGGAAGGAAGGCCTCAACGACCATTTCAGGCGGCATGCCTGGCGTTGCCTATTCCGACACCACATCGCCAACCCGGGGAACCGTATCTGACGCACGATCTGGCGAGCCGTTGATTGAACCACCTTCGCCCGAAGGCGAGATCCTGGGAGCAATGGGACCTTCAGCCGGTGATAGCCCAGACGCCAATGTTCACCGAGGACCCTCAAACGCCTCGTCTCATTACAGCGCAGCTGCCCGCTCTGACGAGTCCGGCGAGGCCCCTATCGGAGTTGCCTATGGAGGAAGAACTAGTTATTATGAGCCGCAGTACGGTACCGCTAAACCATACAACGCCCCCGAGGGTGCCTATAACGGACCAGTTGCCCCGAACAACTTTACTCCCGCAGGACCCCCGGTCATTCGAGATGTTGTGGCGAGGCGGAATACTCGCATTGAGAATTCCGGACATTACCCTCAGCAAACGGCTGGCATCTCGCAGAATTTTTGAAGAACAAGAACTAGTTATTGACGGTCGTCGCTAGTTATCTCTTTGTTTCGACCGCTGTATATCATGGTCCACGCGTCGTTTTTTCCCGCTCATAGGATACCCATTTTGACTGTTCGAGTCGCGCTATCGTTATTGTTTTCGCTCGGCAGAAACGTTCGTTGGATTTTTTTTTGGCTACCCATCTCCGCCCTCGCTCTTGGCGATAGCCGCGTCAGCGAAGGGGGCCTTTGGATGCAGTTTCGTGGATTCTGGTCCTTCCACCATTCTCCTATTCTAGTCAAAGGCCGCCGGCAGGAGGTGGTGGTTTTAATCTCGGATACGACAATGCGTGATTAGATAGAAAAGCGGCTGGTTTTTCTTTTTGCTTTTTTTTTCTATATCAGTGCGCGGTACATTTACACATTCGCTGCACATATCTTTAGAGTCGGGAGGTTGTGGCCTAGGGCAAGAGTCGAGAAGAGTCCCAAGGAGAAGAGGAAACCACCTGAGCGCCTAGGGTTCAGGAAGCATGAGGAAAAAGGAGGGAGGGGGAAAGGAAGCGAATGAAAGGGCCACGCATGGTTTCTAAGCTGCGTCGCATAGGATGATGTTAATGAGGCGCGAGGCGCTTGGTTGATTCTATGGAAGTAACGGTCCTTTTGTTGTGGGAATGATGCTGCGTTTTGCCCAGCTCAAGGGGAGAAAGGGACAGTTGGGAATGGGTTCACGTGTCTAATAGAGGTGTGGTGGATATCTATATGTTTTTGTTTATGGATGGGATGGAGTGGGAGATGGAGGAGATTTGGTTTGCTAGCTGGGTGAAGAGAAAGCAGGGACGGAAAGATGATGTGAAAAAGAGTCTATCCTTAACATACCTTCCACATATCTCCCAGCTACCACTTTGGTTATCTACTACTACTACTACTTTATGATAATGCTATAATGCAGTTACATATCCGTATACTCTAGCTCAGCTAACTTCAATCCTGTTTCCTCGTGTTTCCTCAATATAGGACGATTCCAGATCTTTCCTCCTTCATACCTCTCCCTAAGTTCTCACCTCCCCCCTTGAGGAGTAGCTCAAGCGAACGTGAAAATGAGGCTGAGCAGCTCGCCCGGGTCATCTCCCGGCCCCCCCGCCCCCGTGTGGTTGGCCCGTCGTTCATTAAACCCCTTAAACCTTCCCAAAGGAAGCCAAAAAAAAAAAAAAAAAAAAAAAAAAAAACAGCAATGGCTATTGTGAATATGGAGAACTGGTTGGTCATATGACCTATTTTGCTGTCTTACGAGGTATAGACTTGCTCGCTTCGCAGTCACAAGTTCTACGGGTATCCGCTTCAACTCAATCATTTGACTACTTCAGCTACCTAGCTAGCTAGCGACTTTCCAATGTTTCGTCCCTACCGCAAGAAAAAGATAGACAGTGTTGACAAATGAAAGTCGCTTAAGAATGCATCATGAGCATCGAGTAAGTTCACAACTGAATAAGAAAAGAAAAAAACGTGCGCATGTTAGTCTTTGGCTATTGCATACTATTTAGGCAAATCTAGAACAAGTGAAGAGAGAAGAACTGAGGAGAGAAGTGAAGAAGGAAAGGAGAGAGAGAAAGAGAAATTAAGGTAAGTGAACACTGAGTAAAGGAAAAGCGTGAAGAGGGAAGGAATGAAAAGAGTAAAAGAATAATATAGAACAAAGATGATAAGAGAGTGAAAAGAGAGTGAAGAGAGGAGAGAAGTAAATAGAGAAGTGGCGAGAGGCAGCGAGTGTCAAAGGCAAGCTGCAATAGTAGGAGACAAGTGTTTTGGCCGCTAATTGTTACTATAGCGAGCGGTATACAGGTGAATACTACTAACTGGAAAGGCTCGAGAGACGGCCGTGACTTGGATGTATCTATTTAGACTTGATTTTCATTTCTTGTCCATTAACCACGGGATCACGAGCAACGGGTTTCGTAGAGTATACAAATTCTCACAAGTAAAGGAAACAAAAAAGTTATGAACAGCAGTTTAGCAGTATGTAAAGACATTGGGGGTATCTTCATGTCAATCTCACTGCATACATCTCACCCATCCATGTTCATCCCTGGACACCCGTGATCTTCGTGATCGTGCCCGAACCAACTGAAACGCAGACCGGAGAAATTCGCTAACTATGTACATGAAACCCCAAAGCGCCTTATCAAAACAAAACAGAAAACCAACTCCCACAGCCACATATAATGGAAGCAAGTTCGTACCTTTAGCCTCACAAAAAACTCCCAAAGCCAAGTGCATGGAGACCAACAGGAAGAAGAAAAGAGACAAGACAGCCAGAGTGCAGAAGAAAGTGTAAAGAATAAGAGAGTCCTAGTACACACTCCCTCGCAGGCTTCTATCTTCCTTCTCCGCGTCTGCCAAGTCCTCTAGACTCTGCTTCTTCTTTATTGACTCGGTAAGCCTCGCGCCCTCTTCCTGCTCCTGGCCGCTATTTTCTTCATCTTCTTCGCAGTCAGGCTCGTGCTCTCCATCAGCTTCATGCTCGCCATCGCTACTGGGAGGATGATCACCTAGACGGTTGGCTTTGGCGCCGCGGCCCATTTGGCTCTGATCCCGGCTAGGATGGCGGTGTGGTACTGGACGAACAGCATGGGGGGTGAGTCCGCCACTCGGGGTTTTGGCCTTGACATTCTTGCGCCGCTCATCATCTGACAACTCAGTTTCACTGCTGCTATGTCCACTGTAGGTGCCTCCACCATCACGACCAATATGAAGGCTATGGCTATGGGGACGGGGCGGCGCGCTGGGACTCTTGAGATGGTTTCGTAGGCGGTCTTCGATCGATATAAAGGATGGCGTGCCGTCTGGACTCGAGACGACCTCTTCTCGCGCCTTGGTTATGTCGATGACCGGACCAGCGTGTGCCACTGCTGGCGACAGTGTGGCCCCGCTGCTAGTAGACTGAATACGTTTGGCCGTCGGTCTCCGGCTCGCAATCGTCGGCCCATTAGGCAGTGCGGTACCGTTGAAAGAGGCGTTGGCGACTCCTTGAGCCTTGCCAGTAGCAGGGCCGGCCCCATCTGTAAACGCGATGCTGCTGCTGCTAGCTACACTGGGGGTATCGGCGTCTGTCGAATTACCACTCGCGCTATCGGTAACAGTGATATCGGTGGAGGTAACGTGGTTTGAAATCATGTGGTCGGTCTTGACCAGGTCGGCAAGCGTCGAGCGGATCTTGAAGTTCTTGTCGTGGTTACAGCCGTTCGGACAACCTCCCCACCGCCGTCGCATCTCGACTGGTGGTGCGCTCGGGTCGGAAGGCATGCGCGGGGTGGGGGAAGGGGCCGAGTCTAGCTTGGACTTTCCTCCGGTCAAGAGAGCCTGTTGTGCAGCACGCTCCTTTCTGAGCTCCGACCACGTTCGCAACTTGTTTTCCAATATGTATTTGCCACTGTCGTTCTTGCGCATGATGAGAAACTCGCAGTGATTGACGTTTCGCAGATCCTCGAAGTACTCGACACTGAAGTGGTACCACTTCATAAGGAAGACTCGCGACATAAGACCGTGTGTAACTGTAGCAAACTTGGTTAGCCTTCCCGCCACGTTCTTCAAAAACAGTGATGTCTCGAAAAGTTCGACCTACCTAGAACGCAAACGCTGGCGAAGTCGTCGTCATTGAACTGGCGCCAGAGACTTTCGTTGAAGCCACTGACTCGATCGTATGCATCTGCGGCACTCTCTCCATTAGGGATCCGGTAGAAGAAGTGACCGTAGTCAGCGCGCTCCTGCCACATGCGTTCCATCTCTGCGCTACATGGCTGAAAGTTTCCAAAGTCTTGCTCTCGTAGGCGAGGCTCTTCGTAGACTTTGATGTGGTTGCGCTTGAAGGGACTGGGTTCCGGGTCGTCGCTGGTCAAAGTGGCCAAGATGCCTTCTGTGGTCTCGCGTGTGCGGCGGTAGGGACTGGTGAAGAACTGGATGGTGTCGTCGGCGCGCAACAGCTTACGCAGCCGGCGGCCGGCATCGTATGCTTGTTGCCATCCTTCGTCTGTGAGCTTTACGCGGTGGTCGGGAATCGTTTGGTGGATATCGCGGTTCTCTGTCGATCCATGTTAGTGTTAGCCGCAAGGAGGCAGGTAAGAGACAAGATAGCCTCGAAAGGCGTAGACGACGTACTGTTACCCTCAGACTGGGCGTGTCTGATCAGGATGATAAGTCTAGGCTTCCCCATGGTCGAGAAGGAAGAGAGAACTGAGTGTGACGTGAACAATAAGTGGATGTACTATGCGGTTGCGTAGTAGCTGCAGCAGTTGTCAAAGTCGAGGTGCCCAAACTTTCCCCACCGCGTACCGTGAAGGTCTTTTGTCAAAAACGAGTAATAAGTGGCGGAAAGAGCAATGCTGGTTGACTGTATATCGCAGACACCGTCAAAGTGAGGGACTGGACAAGGAAGGGTATCTTTGTAGCACAAAACTATGGCAACAGATGGGATAAGTAGAGTTATTGGAGTACAAGGGCTGTGTATGAAGGTGGAAGAAAGACAAGAAGAGACGAAAAGAAAGTAAACGAGACAAGGTCGACTAGGTAAATAAGGCAACCGAACTTTGAGGCAGAGACTGCCTGCTCATCCCCTCTAGCCCCCCCCCGGACTGCAACTGAAGTCCTTCTAGGCACGGCTTAGCAGGTCCCGCGTTCGTAACGTGTATGTAGCATATGCGCGGGGATAGGTAGGCAGATCCTCCAGGCCCCTTCCCAGGGGCAGGGGCAGTTCCTGGGGACATAGAGCTTGAGCAAAATGGCCCCAATGGAACCCGGACTGTATGCGTCACCAGCCATGGCGCAACCCGCAAACATGAGTTGTCGTTTTGGGCCGCGAGCTAGAGCCAAGAGACAGCCAAGTAGATGAATACCGTTGAGCTGTTGTCAACAACGTGGCTGTCTTATTCCCAAAGACTCTTGTAATAAGGCAGTATTAATTCTTGTTTGAATCTGCTTGGTTGGCGTGTTACACCTCCCGGTCCAGTATGTTTGTGCTATGCAAAGGGCAACACTAACATGAATGCGCACCTCTCCGCTTTCGGTAAGGTACACAGCCGCACTTTTGAGTTTTTCTAGCTATTGAATGGCTGCGTACTAAGAGATGATGGACATTGCACACTGTGATCGCTGGTGGTGGAGGAGGGGCTAGAGGGGCTGGCTGGGCTGCCCCCAGGATGTGCTGAGCTGTGATTGGATCCGACAAGAGCAGGGAGTCATACATTATCAATCTCTTGCATTCCAGTGGCCTTTCCCGCCTTTTTCCAGACGTGCCAGAGTCCCTCGCGCCCCATTTCTGGCTCGATTGGATGCGCGGGGTTCTCCGTCTTTCTGACGCTTCAGCCAATCAGAATTGTTAACACTCAACCAGAGGTTAGGTTCTTTCCCAATTGGATTCGCATGTCACCGCAACTTTGCGTCTTTGACAGAGCCGGCGCCAACAGCAGCGAACCGGACTCGTTCCTGGCGGCTTCTTCCCGTGTTACTGCAGTATGTAACCGTACAGTACCGATGACCAGACACGGCCATCTTTGGCTAATAAACTGGATGGATGAGTTCCAAGTTGGACTTGTAAAAAGGCACACCACAATCGACTTGGGAACATACGATATCCATGACATTGTGACAATCATGTTATAACCACGTGTAGAAGACATATGATTCAATTTCCCAAAGCTTGGCTACTTAGCTCTCCGTCTATTCCATGACCATTCCGTGACACCAAACCACATTAGACCAAGCCATATCATTTGACGCATGTGGTTTTGATCTCGTGACTTTGCAGACATAGGGATTCCCGGCCTGGAGCTTGTAGCTTTCAAGGTGGGACTCCAATCGAGACAGCATCTTGAAATCGTCAAAGGTCAAACGGCCACTTAACAGCCACGCGCACAGACCACCAATATCAGCCCTGTAGCCTTGTCCAACGGGTCCAGCTCCCCCATCAGCTGCAGCTCAGTTCAGCGTCGCATTCAAACCCCATCGCTGCGATCGACCCGTCCGTTGTCGCGACTTCATTCTCCGGCCCAGATTCAACCTCCAACTTCACATCTCCACCTAGCAAACTTTAGGGAGCCCACCGTCATCACCAAATCACCGCTTAATCGCACCACAAAAGAGAACAACAAACTCAAAGGCGTGCGCGCGCCTCGCTCCTCAGAACGTCACGAACCAGAACAACCCGCCGCGTCTCAACCCAGGAAACACCCGACAGCCACCATCATCACAACCGCAGCCGCAACCGCCACCGCACACCATTGTCGACAGAAAACACAAAACAAAGTCGCAAAAATGTCAGCCGACGACCCCTCTTCGATCCCAACCTCCACCTCTCGCCTCTCCTCCCGCCCCACCAAGCGTCTCCGCGCCTCCTCTCCCACCTCCCTTCAGGCCTCCCACCTGCAACAACTCTTCGCCAAACCCGACCGAGAAATCATCATCCCACCGCTCCCCTCCTCCGCCACTTCCGGCTCCTCTCGATTACCTCCCCCTCCGGAAATCGTCACCAACGTTCAGGGTTCCTCCGCCGGTGCGGGATCGGGCGAGTTTCATGTATATAAAGCTGCCCGGAGGAGGGAATATGAACGGCTGAGGATCATGGATGAGGAGGTTGCGAAGGAGAAGGAGAGGGAGGAGTTTGAAGCCAAGAAAAGGGAGAGGGAGAGGGCGGATGAGGAGAAGACAAGGAGGAATCGGGAGAAGAGGGAGAAAAAGAAGAATAAAGGGAAGGGAGGGAAAGGTGGAGGTGGAGGTGGAAGTGGAAGTGGAAATGGTAGTGCAAGTCAAGGAGGGAGTGTGACGACAGCAAATGGGGCCGAGAAGAAAGAGACTGCAAAGACTGGGGACGAGGGAGGCGCAAAGGAGAGTGCAGCCGGAGCTGGAGTCACTAGCAACGACACCGCTGGGGAGAGTACCGCAAAGGAAGCGGACAAGTCCACTTCGACCACGGCTGCGTCTGCTCCCGGGGCAGTAGTACCTGGAAATGCGGAGTCTGGGCTACTTATCGTTGAAGACGACTGAAGGGGGATGTTGAGAGTATTGATTTTACCCAAGCGAGTAGAGCAACAATCAGCGACAGGGGAAAGCATAGACAGCATCACGACCTGCGGTTACGGAACAAGGATAGACCTCTCGACCAGGCCTTTCAGAACCCCTTTTATCTACCATGCCAAGGCCCATCTAGCATATACATAAAGGGGTGCTCATGCAATGGGTGCTATGCGTTGACCACCAAAGAATCATTAACGGGATATCATACCACCTTTTGCCGGACTGACTATAACTCAGTTGACCCTGGGTTACCCACCCGCACCCTTCATATCATTTACTCATCACCGCCGCCAGAGCTGACACCGACACCTGGCTGTGCCTTTCTGGCACTGCAGATATCGTCAACTCTCAATAGGAGGCAGGCAGCCTGTTTGTGTAGATGGTCAGTAGACAATTAAAAGAGCATCGAAACTGAACGTCAAGAAAAAGGATAAAAAAAAAGTCCAAACATACCTCGACAGCAGTCTTCATGCTCTGCACCTTGATGGCCTCGGGCTCCCAGACCCCGTAATCCTTCATATCCACAATGGCACCAGTATCGCCGTTGATACCCCACGAGTTCTTGCCCTCGGCATGCTTCGCGCGGAGATCGGTGAGCACACGGACGGGGCTCTTGCCGGCGTTCTGGACAAGTGTACGGGGAATGACCTCGAGGGCCTCGGCGACGGCCTTGTACGGCCATTGTTGGACACCCTCGATGCTCTTCGCGAGCTGTGTTAACCTGACGGACACGGCCATCTCGGTCGCACCACCACCGGGCGATAGCCTGGGGTGGAACATGACGTTGCGCGCCACGCCCATGGCATCTTGCAGGTTGCGCTCGATCTCGTTGAGAACGTCCTTGGAGGGACCGCGGAGAAGGACGGTGCAGGCCTTGGGGTCCTTGCACTTTGTGAGGAAGGTGAAGTACTCGTCGCCAATCTTCTCGACCTCAAACAGGCCGCAGTTAGTGCCTACGTCGGATTCCTGGAGATCCTCTACTCGGTTGACAATAGTAGCGCCGGTCGCCCTGGCAATTCTGTTGTTGTCGGTCTTGCGCACACGTCTGAGCGCGGTAACGTTGGCCTTCATGAGATAGTGTTGTGCGAGATCTGTGAGTGAAATCATCGTTAGCTTTCCTGCCACCGACGTGATACGCGCTTCCCATTTATGGAGTCGAACTCACCAGAGACACCCTTCTCTGTGATAACAAGGTCGGGGTTAAAGGCAAGGATATGCTCGCACATCTGCTTGACCTGCTCCTCCTCAATCTGCAGGATGCGGTTCCAGTCCTCCTCCTTTGTGATCTCAATGTTGGTCTGCGACTCGCCCTTCTTGTACTCGAGCGGGCAGTCGAGCAGGATGATGCGCGGGTTCTCGATCCTGCGGCGCATCTTGGGGTGTGTGATGTCCTTGTTGAGCATAACGCCGTCCAATACCCTGCTGTCCTCAATCTCGCCGCCCGGCACCTTCTCCACGCGCGCATACCTCTTGATGTCGACCTCCTTCTTGCCATTACCCATCTCCCACGTCACGGTGCGCACGGCCTTGAGCGCTAGCCCGCACATGAGTTCCGACCATCGGGAAACGTACTTGGTGCCAATCGAGGACGAGATGAGCTTGTACATGGCCTGGTCATCGTTGATGTCGATCGGGAGCGAGATGTCTTCGATGATCTGCAGGGCGTCCTTGAGGGCGCGCTTGAAGGCCGAGATGATGACGACGGGGTGGATGTTGCGCTCGAGCTGGGGGAGGGATTGCGCGAGGATCTCGCCGGCTGTTTGTGAATACCACATGTCAGTGAACGGTATACGGCGCAGCTGTAACCAAAGTTTTCCCTACCGAGAATGATGACTGTTGTGGTACCGTCACCAACTTCTTCGTCTTGTGTCCGGCTGAGCTCGATCATGCTCTTGGCTGCGGGGTGCGACACTTCGATCTCGCGGAGAATAGCATGGCCGTCATTGGTGAGGACGATACCGCCCATGGGATCGAGAAGCATCTTGAGCATGGCCTTGGGGCCGAGGCAGGATCGGATGATATCAGCGACACTACGAGCCGAGGGGGGGCGGTCAGTCAGTGTCCATGGCGGGGTGAAAGGCGGTCTTATCCGCTATAAAGGGGGGGGGGGGCCTTGGAACTGTACGTTTTGGCGGCGGCGATGTTGGACATCTGAGCCTTGCGGCCAGTCTGCCTCTCACCACTGTTGGTGTCTGTAAGGGTAGGAGGTAAGGTCAGTCAGTATGCTGCATGGTTACTGCCGGCTGACAAGTGAGGATATCCCCAATATCAGTGCGAAAAGGGGCAAGAGGTAGCTTCGAGCGCTGGAACATACTCATTACCAGGACCGGTGCCTGCATGGTGCCTGATTTATATGGGTTGCTTTACTGGTGACTGAAAAGAAGAAAGCTGTAGGTATAGACTTTGTCTTCAGATGGTGATGCTTCAGAATGCGCGGGGGGAAGCAGGATGGTTCGTTGGCAAAAATCTGGAGAAGGAATGGCCGCCGTTGTTGTTTGCTGTTCTCCAGTTCAATGATCGGGCAGGCAGCTTCAGCGTCAACCTCAGGTCAAGGTGGGATGCTGGACCCCCTCCGAAAAGTTGATGGAATCGACCTGGACCAAGCTCCCTGCTTCCACTTCCGTCGCCAGTGGACGGCACCCCACCACTGAAAGGTGGGGCAGAGGACTGCCGAACAGAACGGAAGAAACGTCCAGTGTCGTGGCATCCGCTGCCAGCTGTCAGCGCTAACGGTCGCGCAGCAACGGATTGTTGATGCTTGATCAGGGGAAATATTCTTATACAGGTCATAAAATACATTTGTGTCATGTCCTCTCCATGTTTGAGCTATCCAAACATGCCAGCTTGCTTGTTAAGTACAGTCATGGGGGAGCTCTTGTCCAGTTCCACGTGTGATTCAGCTCCATATCCTGTAAACCACAAAACGCCTTACGCTGTGCCGTGTGAAACAACTATACAACAATTCCATCTCAGGCTCCCCAGCTCTGCCAAGATCAACTCAAAGCATCATACTTCTCCTCCTCGAGGCCCTCCCCTTGGACAAGGACCCGCCACTGTCATTGCCGACATCTTCCTCATCCTCTTCCTCCTGCGTTAACTCTTCAGCCCACAAGCTTTTCTTCGGCACCAGCATCGAAGCCCTTTTTCGGGAAGATCTTGGCTTTGCGGATGCTGTTGCTGTTGTCTCGGTCGAAGCAGTTGAGGACGCTCTTCTTGAACCTTTTTGTGCCTTCTTATTAACAGGAACATCACCGGTAGTCGCTTCTAGCTGGGGTGCTGCGCTATCCGGAGATGCACAACTAGCAAAGTCGTAAAGATCCACCGAGGCTGAGTTCGTCGAGAGTTGTGCGTCCTCGTGTTCGTGTTCGTGATTTTCTGTTGGGATCGTGGGTGCGGAACGGCTCATTGATTGCCTCCCCTTTCCACCCCTGGGCCGTGTTGTAATACTATTACTCAGCTCCTTCTGAATCTGAGCCTCGACCGCGGCGTTTTCATCGGTCTCCTCCGCGGCTGGGGGGTTTAGAGTTGGTTGTTCTCGGACCGAAGGAATTGTCATTGCAGGGGCTGCAGTAGAGAAGGATGAGGCGCGTCTTCTCCTTCCCAGGTCTACTGAGCTTGGGAGGATGCCGTTTGGAGACAATATTCCTTCATCCAGCTGTGGTTCCTTCTCCTTCTCTTTTTCAAACAGCGTACTGCTGGTCAGACTGCTTATATCCACCGCCGGCAACGGCTCGGCCTTGACCTTGCTTACTGACGTCGGTGCTGACTCGTCGCCCTTGCGTTGCTGCTGCTGCTGCTGTTGCGATGCCGGCCTGTGAAGGAACTTGCCCTCCCCAGAAACGGCATCAAAGAGCTCTTTGGTCGGTCGTCGCATCTTGTCGCGCAGATTGGGTTCCGTATAGCTGATCGCCGCTCTAGCACGCCTGCTAGGCCGCGACGTCTCTCCATTAGATGAAATGTGGGCTGGCGGCGGGGTGTCGTGGGTCACAACAGTACTTTCGGAGGCGCGCTCTGGTGTTCCAGGTGTGATCAGAATATCGGTTTCGGGAATCTCTGCAACTTCAGGAGTAGGTTCCAGAGCCGGTGGGAAAATCTCGACTTTCGTGAATGCCGACGTAGAATTTCCTTGCGTTTCTTCTACTGCTGACTTCTCTTCCGGAGCGGGCAGGTCAGCTTTCTCCTTACCCTTTGGCGCGTTGTGCACCTTCACCGGCTCAAAGTCGTCGGCCACTTGGTGGGGCTTCGCCGGCTTCTTCGGAGAGACAATGTGCTCGTTCGTGCTCTTTGCGGACAGCGGGGCTCTCGGTCTCGTTGCGGTCTCTTTGATGCTTTTCCTCTTGTGCGGGTCGCGGGCAGAGAGTCCTTTCTTGATCCCAGTCTCATTGCCATTCTCTTTTCCTTGCTGAAGCTTGGTTGCCTTGTTGGGTTCGTTTTGGTTCTCGCCGTTCAACTTTCGCTTGAGGCCTGCTCGTATGGTCTCACTCGGTACAGCCGATGCGGACTGTTTTGGCGGTTCCATCGGAGGGGGACTGAACATCTTGGAGGGTTCCGCAACTCTCGATTCTTTGGGTGGGCTGAATAAGATCATGTTTGGTCTCCTGTCGTAGTCAAGTTTAGGCGGCGATAGTGACGGCGGTACTTGAAGAGCCCTAGGGCTCTCTTCCACTTGCTCGGTAGTTTCCGTTTCTTCGGTCTCGGCGTTCTTGTTTGGCGATGGTGAACAAGGTATGACCATATCATCCTCGACAAACCTAGATACTGGCGGCGGTCCGATGTCTGGCGAGTCATTCGAATCATCTGCCTGCATGCACAGCGCTAGGATTTCTTCACTGCTGCTCGGCTGTCAGCCATATGCTTCAATGTATCATGCACCGGGAACTGCAAGCGACCTACTTCATTGTGGCTCGCGCATACGTCTTGTTCTCGTATATCGGCGGTAGCCTTCCTTCCTGCTCAGCCAGTAGTTCCTGGTCGGCCTCCTGGCGTGCTCTTCGTAAGGGAGGGCTTCGGTGAACGCTCGGTCGAGGCTGCGCGTATCGCCTTTCTTCTAAAAGGCGCCGCTTCGAGGGCGGCTCCCCTAAGCTTGCCAGCAGCGAACTGAGTTCCGCCAACTGCGTCTCCATCTTGGCCTTGACCTCAAGCGCATGATCGGCCACCCTTCGCGCAGCGTTGTCTTGGAGCTCCTTTTCGAGGCGTAAGACCTGGCCACGGAGTTCGAGGTTCTCCGACAGCAAACGAGCGCATTCATTCTCCAACCCACGGATACGGAGTGACTGTGTGGAATTGACTCGAGCAATATCTCTGTTTTGTCTGAGAAACTTCCTACGCACTGTCAAGACGCGATGAGGTTAGCTGTGTTGTCGCATTGGCGCGATGAGGGAGACGGAGTCGCGACACATACAGAGCTCGAGATTGTCTGTTGACAACGAGATAGACGACATGGCTTGTTCGTTGAGGCGGGCCATTTCGCATTGTCGTCCTCGCGGACAAGACAGCCAAAAAGGGTTGTTATTAGTTCGACCGGATCGCTATCATAGATATACAATACAGATCGTCGTGGATGTGTCGGAAGCTGTTTGAGTCAGGTTGTTGTTTGGAATGCGATCGATACGTTGGGGAAGGAAGAGGCTGGGCAGGTGCACCGTGCAACAGTGCGGTGGATTGGGTGGGTGGGAGCGGAGGTGGACAACTGAAATTCCCAGGTGTCATTTCGCGAACATTTTTGTTTACTCTGGTTCCCAAACCGGTTTAGCGTCGCGGTTCTCTTGCAGTTGGCCAAGGTCCAGGGTTGACCAGCAACGAGGTTCAGTTCTGAACTGAAGCGGGGCGGGGACGCGGCCCACTGGAAGCTTTCACCGTCCAGACTCCGACCTGCGGTGTTGCCTGCCGCCCATGAAAACAAGCATAAGGTCCTACAGTATAAGCAGTACCTCCCCTCTATACTACCGGCGGCCACTAACAGCATCACCTAGCAGCAAGCAATCACAACAAGGAACAGCACACTCTTTCCTCCCAGGGCATCTTCCCGTCCGTCTTGTCAAGGACTTCCACCACTCAGATTCGACCAACGGCTCTTGACTACCATTTCCTGAACACACATGTAGATCTCCATAAACTCCCATCCTTTTCTTCTTCCCCATCACCAACGCCGTGACTGCAGCCACAATGTCCGCATTTCCTGCCAGAGGCTTTTCGTCCATGGGCGCAAGCACCACGGGCCAGTCTCCCGCCCTGGTTGCCAGAGTCAACGAGAAGAAGGCCGAGCTGGAGAATCTCAAGGAGCTGCGCGATCTCAGTGCGGCAATGGCAACGCAGATGGAGGCACTCGCACAAAAGCTGGCTACTCTTTCCGATGGAACAGAAGCCATTGCCCTTGTTCTTAGCAATTGGCATAATGTGCTGAGAGCTATCAACATGGCATCTGGTAAGCATCATTCACGCCATACTGGTAGCATCCCTTCCAGGCGGTCCTTACTAACACGCCTGCCTCAGCCAAATTACCCAAGCCAAGTGCAGGTGTCCAGGAGCCCTCAGAGGAAGATCTTCCCCAGACTCTTGTTCGCATCCCAACCGAACATGCGCCTGCACTTCAAGCACATGCGGAGGGAGCTGCAGAAGAAGAGTAAACCGGAGGAAGTGTCTGTCTTCCGGGTCACCTCGGCCAGCCAGGCTACACCATTCAGCAAGTCCTTCCTGGGATTGGCTGAGGACTCAAGTCAGAAGTAATCTTTTTTGAAGGATCAATGCTACTACCGCACCAAGGCGCTCTAAAGGAAACAAAATCAGGTCAGAAAGCTTCATGTTAGAGTCAGATGCTATGTGGACTGCCCTGTTTTTTTCTTATCGGTGCTGCCAGCCTCAGTCTGTACCTTCCGAGTACGAACAGAAAGAAAGGTTTGAGCAATCAGGGGTGGCCTGTTTCTACTTGATCACTAATGAAGAAGTCGGTTTTGGTCAAAGTCAGCCAGGGGGTTGCTTGAGGAAGTCGCCGCTTCAAGACATCAGACAACAACCCCAACCATGAGACCACGAGCACTTGCAGTTACGAGTCCATCAAAGGCGCCGAGAACGAAGTGGAATGGCCCTCAAGCATTGTGGTGAAGATGGGAAAGAGTTGCGGGCACGACCTTGACTGCCATTTCAAGGAACAGGGAAGGGCGCCCGCCGCCAGTACTAAGACGCATGACGTTCCTCTGGATGAAGCACAAAAGCCAACTGCCTTTAGGACTCCAACACAGTTTTCTCGACCACTTCAGTTGAATCAGTTCCGTCGTCAGCCAAAGACTCCAGTGCCCAACTGCTACACCAACATAATTGTGCAATCAATAACCAACAAGTTTTCGATCAGCCTTCCCCGGATCTAGCCCATCACAATCTCACCTTTCTGGATAACGAGCCACCCCGCGTCTGCACAGAGATAATCTTGTCTTTTTCCCTTTGAGCGAAATTACTCTGGAACCCTTGTTCAGGCCAGTCAGCAACGCAATCGTCTGGCCTCCAGATCTTGGCTATTTCGGGAAAAGCCGATATTAGAACGAAGAATTAATTACAATCATGGCGACCGCCAGCACCTACCACCACCGACATGGAATCGGCTTCGATATCCACGACTATGGACTACACTCCAGCTGCACCCCTCACAGACTCGACAACAATCAGTTTTATGTCTTGGATCCCAATTCAGACACCGACCACGATCATAGCAGGAAGCCCAACAAGACTCAAACAATCAATACCCAAAACAATTACTTGGGTAGCCCCAAGAAGGCAAATGTCAGGGCCAGAGGTACTGCAAGATACCAAGCTGACGGGTCTGAACTTGGAAACGAGACTGCGCGTCAAGTGCGCAAGAAGCTAGGCGAAAGAGACAGTTCTGAGGCCGGTGCGACTATCTCCACATTTTTCTCAAAAGGTACGTGGCTCTCTCTACTAGTATCTGGGAATCAAGCTACCTTCGTGCAATGAAGACAAACTGACTTGAGCTTGACGGGCTTCTCAGAATTTGGGGAAACCAATCACCTTGCCTTAGAAAATCAAAGACTCCCCAGCAACGCAGAGCAGTTGGCCAAACATTACGCAGGTCACTTCGAGTGGGTTCTGTCATTGCCGGCAAAGACCCTGCCCGAAGGATGCGCTCATCCAGTCTGCTCTCACGATAACCCAGAGATTTGTGGCTATACGGGATCCGGAGAATGTGCTCACCCAATCTGTTCTCATGAACACCCTGAGCGCTGTGGCTACCAAGGATCCGAAAACCCAAAAGAGCTGCTTTACTTTGGCTGCAACCTCGTCCCGCGGCGTTCAAAGTCAATGCCGGATGCCAAGTTAGGCACCGACAACGAAGATCAAAGTGCTGATATTTATACGGTTGTAGCTACTAAGCTCGACGGCGTCAAGCATAGCGACGTTGTCGAGAATAATACTGTTCCGACGAACATCACGACCCATCCCGACGAATCCCATGTTCAGATGAGGCGCTCCCACATTACCCGCGAGACAATTGATGAGGAGACGGAGAGCATGGTGGATGAAAGGGCTGGCGACTTTGAAACTACTATCGTCCAAATGGACGCGGATTCCGTCTCCAGCATGGCTGAAGAGACCAGCCCTTACCATACAGACGATGAAATGCGCGATTTTCACGGAGAAGTTGACGTGGACCATCGACATGAGCCTCAGGTGAGCTTCGAGTCAGATTGCCTTCTGATCGGCGAATATCAGTATGAAGAAGAGAGGGATGAAGCGCGAGAATCAGATTCACATGCAGAAAATGACCGCCACATCCAAAACGAGTCCCGGATGTGGGAGACTGATTCATGTCACCGATACCACCATCATTCCTCGGAAACCGTGGATGATTGTCAACAAGAGTCTCAAATGAGGTGGGAGACCGAATATCGTCACAAATATCGTCACCGCCTCTCGGAGGCCATGGAAGACGAACACATGGAACCAACGAGACTATTTCCACCCATTTCGAGTCCTGCGTCCAGGATTGAAGACTCGGTGGAAGCTCTCGACAAGCTCGAGGATGAATTGGAAGCTATCAATGACTTGGCGCGAGTCGACCGAATCTTGTCTCCTGTAGACGCAAGAATACCCTTGATGCAGAGCGTCCAGAGAACACCCAAGGCCGCCCCACCTCAGCGCACAAGCTCCAAGAGAACTGGACCTACCACGGTCCGCCCGAAAGATGTCGATCGCTCTTCATCGCTGCGGAAGTCAAGCTCGATGAGCTTTGCCGATAATAAAGCGGCTGCTGAGAAGAAAGGTACAGCAACCAGACCAACCAGCCTTCAGCCACCTAGGCCTCCGGCCAGGTCTAACAAAGCACCCGCTGTGGCCTCGTTCGAGCTACCCGGAGAACCTGTGGCCCGCCGCCTCAAGGAAGAGCGTGCATCTCGTCTTTCACAAGGATATATTTCCGAAAATGCCCCGTCTATGGATGATTCCTGGACCGCCTCACCTCCCAAAGTTCGTGTCAGGTCCACCAGAACGTCCACGCGAGCCGCTTCTGAGTTACCCGGTCAGGCAATCTCACGTCGCAGGAGAGAGGAGTCGGAGGCCAAACAGCGAGCTGAGGAAGAGGACGGTAAGGGCCGCGGGTCCAAGGCTCGCTCGGCCCGTGCTAGCATCTCAAAAGCTACGAATCCTCGCGAGACGGTTGTTAGTCGGGCGCGACAAGGGAGACCTAGTGTCGCTCGTACGTTTGATGGCAGCCATGCTAGCGGTTGTGCAGAGCCCCGTTCTCCTCTATCAAAGGCACCCGCTACAGCTTCTTTTGTGTCACCGACAGCTTCTTCTGCGAACAAGCGGAATGCTACTGTGGGCAGATCGGCCGCGTCGACCAAGCGACAGTCGTACAATGCGGCAACTCTTCCGGCGCGCGGCCGCTTGAGCATGATTGACTCGCTGTCGGCAGCCAATGCCGGTCGTGGCATTTCGAGGGCGTCGGCAGGTAGCAACCGCAGTGGCGTCACGGGCAGTAGCACGGTTAGCAGGCGTAGCACAGTGAGTGCGGAGGAGGCGCAGAAGCAGAGGCAACGGGGTAAGGAGGTATTTACACGCGACAACGGCTATACGGCGGAACGTGAGAGAGAGCGGCACGAAAGAGAGGAGGCGGCGAAGAGAGCTCGAAAGGAGGCGGCTGATAGGTCTAGGATGCAGAGCCGCGAGTGGGCAGAGAAGCATGCACAGAAAGCCGCTACTCTTGGTGGAAAGAAGAAACGGGACAGCATGGTCGGGGGCTCTCAACCAATGAGGTTTCGCTTCACATCCTGAAGAGGTAGGGTTTGCACGATGGATTCGGCGTTTCGACGCAAGTGGGCGAAATGTTTGAGTTGGCGCGGAGTTGTGGCTCAGGCTTCGGCTTTGTTTTCATTTCGGTCTTGCATGATTCTCTCTTTTTCCGGCTTGGAGTTCGAGGTTTGTGTGAGCATTTTCATGAGGTGGTTGCATCGCAGTGTGAACTTTTTTTTTTTTATCTTTTACTTTTTTCTTTTACTCGCGGTTTACGGTCTTATCATGCTGGCTTTCTGATCCTTTTAACTTGCTTCCTCATTTCAAAGCTTTCGGAGCACCATCGTGACAGACATCACCATCTCTTGAGGGCCCCAGGTTGTTTCTAATGACCTTTATACACTGAGGTGCCCCGGAAATACCCTCGATCACTTACAGGACGGTTAAATGGACTACTCACCAACCGATTGGCCAACTGGGCTATCGGACGAGGCAACAGATCTTTCGGTTTTAAGGCCGTTAGGTTCTTCTCGTACGCCGCGGCAACTGTTTGTCACACGAACTTATCGGTTAGCTCGCCGCTTAGTATTTCGAGCGCGTTTTGGCGGTGTTATTTCTTGTTTTACTTTATTAATCCAGCATAGCCAACGTGGTCATGAGAGGAGACGACGCTGGATGTTAGATAGAATGGATGGAGATGCAGAACAATCAACAAAGATCTTGACAGGACGCTTTTAACATGTGAGAAGGGTGTGGAAGTGAATAAAAAACCAAGACGACGACGACGACGACAAAGCGGGTGTCATGAGTAAACTGCCTCGGCTTTGATCTGTCTCCCATACCTTCCTACTCAAGACTCGAGACTTAAGCTTGTTGCATAGGTCGTCAAGTTTGTGATACGCGCCGATCGCGCAAATGGAAGTAGTAGGTGAGAACTCGCTATCCTGCTCTTTCCTCTGCAGGACAGATTGAGGTTTCGCAGTCGAATGCACCTACTTGGTACGAAAAGGACCTGGACGCAGCACCGAATAGCAAACTGAAGCAGCGACTGACTGTTAAGGCTGCTCGGTAGGCAGTCGCTCAGCTGAATCACCAACCTAACCGACTGCCAACCACGTCTCTCCCTTGCTTCCTTTCGATCGAGTCTTATCGCTCAGTTGCGGCATTCCCTTATTCTAAGTTGTGTCGGTCCGCATTATGTATGTATACGGCTACGTTACCTTGCCTTAGAAGCAGCCCGTGCATTCGACGTTCGACGCCCCACGCGCATTCACAACCTGTTCATATTCCAGTTCCAACATATGATCTTGCAGTTCATTGACTAGAAAAACATTTTCAAACGATCCCCCACCCAGCCACGCAGTATCTTCAAAGGCTTGAAGCCAAAGACATTGGGGGTTCAAACCCGATCTTTGAGTCCCCTTCTCGGTCACTTTCGCGCCACCTCTACCACCACCCCGACCACAGGTACCAACGAGCAGCTGAGCAGCATCAGCAACATGGAAAATAGGTAGCCGAGAAGTATAGCGCGCTTTGGACTACGAGGACCGGCGAAGAGAACAACCACCAACGTCGAGAGAAGCTTTTTGTTTCGCGAGAAGAGTCGCGATGCCAAGCCCGTTGCGAAGGCCTGTGCATGACGGGGTCCGTCTCGGCACCATATCCCGTGTCGATCACCAGACCCTGGATTCAGACGCCGCTGTCAGCGTCAATTCAGTGGAAAATGGGGAACCCCAACGGCCAACGTTGATCCCGGGATGGGGCAGTCCCGGTACTACCCATAGCACCCCGCTCGTAGCATCATCCACAGCCCGAGCTAGTGGTGACACCTCGAGCAGTGGGACCTCGACTCCAACGTCCCTGAGCCCGCCGCCGCCTCCACATCTTCCCCTCCTCCAGGATGAGAAGCCCCGGTATGTACGACGACCGCCCGGGCTAATAAAGACCTTGTCCAAAAAGATCATGTTCTGTTCAGCCTGGGTCTTCGTCATTGGCTTCCTGTGCGTCTGCCTATACAATTACCGATATAACGCCAACGGCCTTATCCCCTCGTTTGCTCCCTCGGACGTAGGCGTTCCCTCCAAGGAAAAGGGCACCCCGAGTAGTACCACCCAACACGGCAACTACGGCGACTCGAATGATAATGGCAAGGCAAATAGTAGTGATAGCACAGAGGCAATAGTTTCATATGTCGACCCGGATCTCGAGCTAGGTCTTTCGTCCGCATCTTCTCCATCGGTCCCAACTCCGACATCTCAGACTGCAGACACCAAGGACACGTCGTATTCCCCATCCACCACCTTGATGACCGCAACCATTACTATGACCAACGAAAGGCTGCCCGGCGCCACAGCCACATCACCCGCAGTCACCTTGCGCCAAGGCCGGTACATTGGCGTCCACTTTTCTGTCGACTACCGCTTCCCCAAGGCTATTGAGGCCTTTCGCGGCGTTCCCTTTGCTCAGACCACCGGAGGGGAGAACCGCTTCCAGCCACCCAAGGCACTACCGGACTCCGATCAGACGTTCCAGGCTGTCAAGTTCGGCGAGAATTGTCCTATAGGAGGGACGGTAGGCAACGGGTTTGGAGAAAACTGCTTGAATGCCAATATCTACAGGCCGGCTGGTCTGGTTGATGACGATGGACTAAAAATAGGGGACAGCAACAAGCGCCCGGCGTTGCTGCCCGTGGTTGTCTACATCCATGGAGGTGCCTTCAACGGAGGTATGGGCGCTGAACGCAACATGGCGAGCTTCGTTTCCTGGGCCGATGCACCTATGATAGGCATTAATTTCAATTATCGTGTCGGTGCCTTGGGGTTCCTCCCATCAGCATTGACGGCCAAGGAAGGGTTGCTAAATCTGGGGTTAAGGGATCAGACTATGTTGTTGGAATGGGTGAGGGAAAATGTAAAGGCCTTTGGAGGTGATCCGGATAATGTCACGATCATGGGACTCAGCGCTGGTGCGCATTCGGTAGGTTTTGTCTTCGGCCCTTTTATGTCTTTGATATCGTATTCCAATATGTCTTCATACACACCACGTATAACTTTGCTGACCCACTATTCTTTTGTTTTTTCGTTCTTTTTTAGATCGGGCACCATATCATGTACTACGCCCGAAAGGAGAATCCGGCACCCTTTCACAGAGCCATCCTGGAGTCCGGCGCAACTACTGCTAGAGCTGTCCTCCTCCCAAACCACCCTCGTCACCTGGTCCAATTTCGAGAATTCCTCGCGGCTGCAGGCGTGGACGGATTACCGGATGATCAGATCTTTGATCATCTTCGCAAGCTTCCGCTCGAAACCATAGTCAGAGCCTCCAAGAAAGTCTGGGACCGCTACGAACCCAGCGTCACATGGCCCTTCCAACCCGTCATCGACGGGCTTCACGACCAACAACAAGCCATCAGCAACAACAACAGCGAGGCCACCCCCGTCCTAATCCCCGACCTCCCCATCACCTCCTGGCGCCAAGGCAAGCACCTCCGCATTCCCGTCTTAACCGGCTTCAACACCAATGAAGGCGCCATGTTCATCCCCAGGCAAGCCAACACAAACGACGACTTCCGCTCCTTTTTCAAAACCCTCATCCCCACCCTCACCGACGCCGACCTCGCCGCCCTCGAGCACCTTTACCCGGACCCCGTGACAAACCCCCACAGCAGCAACAACCCGTACCGCTCCGTGCCCGCCGGCATGGGAGCTCAGTGGGCCCGTCTCGACGCCGCTTACAGCCACTACGCCTACATTTGTCCAGTGCTGCAAACAGCGCACTTTATGAGCCAGGCGGGATTGCCGGTTTATGTCTATAGGTTCGCGGCTAGGGGAAACTGGGACGTGGCGAATCACGCGGATGAGGCACTTGTGGTGTCGCATGATATGGATTTTTTGAGGTCATTTGGACCGCCGCGACGGAGCAAGGGGTTGAGAAAGGTGGCAGATGGGATGAATGCTGCTTGGGGAAGGTTTAGTAGTGGGGAGAAGGTTATTGAGGTTGAGACGGATGGGAAGAAGGGTAGTGGGAAGAGGGTGGTGTGGCCGTTGTTTAGGACGCCTTTTGGGGATGGTGATTCGGAACTAGACCGCGGCGGCGCTGGGCACAAGACTGCGGAGAGAAATACAGAAAGAGGGTGGTCATCATCATCATCATCATTGTGGAAACAGAGCAGCAGTGGTAATGACGATGTAAAGCCGCCAGAGGGGACGGGCAGGATGATTGTCTTTGGAGAAGGGAACAACGAGCGGGCAGGTGGTAGTAGCCCTGGTACGCCGGCCAAGGAAGAGGTTCTCAATGAGATCTTGCTGAAGGCTTGCCGGTTTTGGTGGGATCGGATAGAGTTAAGTGAGGGCTTGGGTATACGTCGTGAAGAGATGGGAAGGTCTGGTAAAGGTACGAAGGCCAGGCTATGACTTGGGGGTTGACGATATGTGTAGAATGCTGAAGGCGAGTCTTCTATCTGCGGCTTACAAGTATCATTATGACCGAAATTACAAGGCATAAAACTGTGTGGTGTATAGTGCAGGATGGGCTTGCTCATGTTAGGTACTTACGTTATGAGTAATGGTTAAGAACAAGGAGGTTAGATGGATATCGGATAGGCAAATCCTCGTTTTTTTTTGGAATTGGTGGACAGGCATTTTCGCCTCGGAGGAGAATGGGAAAGGGTTCATAGCAATGTTCAAATAGTATCACGAGTATCATATTTACTCGTTACACGTCCACGATGTGCTCACCGTGAGCTTCTATCTCGGTGATTGTCTCAATGGGGACTGCATTCCTCGGTTCCAGCAACCAGCAGCATCACATCGCTACTTCATTATGGCGAATTTCTTCCCTAGCAAGTAATACATGCATGCAACCACGAATATAACAAACAGAACAAGAGCCAGAATCAACATTGAAAAAGAGAATGACTGCCAAAGCGAGGTTCTTGATACAAAAAGAAGAAGGAACGAGCCGAAAAAAAAAAAAGAAAAAAAGAAAGAAAGAAAAAGACATACAACACCTGGGATTCGCTGGTCGTCACCGACCCAACTACTAGTCAGGCGATTGGTAGCTTATCTATGGGAGAGCGGACGGGATCCCGAGTTTTCTACCATCTATGGTCGTATGTGTTTATCTCGATCGGTAAAGGTGCTTATATTCTGTCCGTGGAAAAAATTGTTCATGATCGCAGTATTGTATAAGTTGGCAGGACATGTTCGTCTTGGCACTTACTGTGCTTTGGTCACTTGATAGATTTTGCCTGTTTGTTATACGCAAATAAGTGTGACGACCTGCGAAACCGGTTCGAGTCTAACTAACTAACATACCGAGCTTCGTAGTTTTAGGCTCTAGAGTAGATGGGGAGGTAGTGTGGTAATTTGTTGTCAGGTGTTTAGGTACCTAGTTTGGTGTAGGCATGAGTTCTGCTTGGTGCAAGTCCGTAGAAGTCTTTGGTGGGTTTCTTGCGTTGACTTAGCCACGGTCGAGCAAGTATACCAGGCGAAGCCTTCGTTATTACCTACGATACTCATCAGAGCGGATAATAGACGTCGAGACACTGGGGGACGGATTGTTTATTGAAGAACTGTCCACCTGGTTGATGGTTGTACGTATCTGGTCTCTCTGGTAGCTCCAAGCAGTAGACATTCGCTCTACTCCAAAAGGCCCCAGATCCAGTTTTTTATCGAGATACCTCAAGGTGTTTGAAACCAAGGAAAATCTCGCTAGCAGAGTCGTCGTGTATACAAGATCGCTATTGCATAGGTGTCTTCTTGAAATCATTCCCGAAGTGCTCAATTGCATACTTATGTCTGGGATTACAAAGGTTTATTATCACCATGCTTTGGAACGGTTTTCTACGTATACTCGAGACACATATCATGCGCTTCGAGATGGAGTCTCACTTGCCAAGTCTATTTTGTTACTGCTGAGTGAGGAAGGAGTGCGTGTTCGCGTTGACTGTTTGTTGTTTCTGTTGATTGAAAATCATGACGGGAGAGTTGAAGATTTTTGGCGCTCCAGTGATTTAGAGCCTCCCTCAAGCCTTTGACTGTACACAGCTCATCACACTTGCTTCACATACCCCATGCAAAACAAATCCCAAAGAGATCGGCAATCCCTCCCTGAAGAAAAGAATCCGAACCCCCGACCACCGACTTCGGACCTAAGAGTTATTTGAACCTCATGACGTTTGTAACGCCCCC